CTGTTGAGAGGTGGGACGCTGCGCGCCGGAATGCGCATTAGATCCAATCTAATAGCATACGGTGACAGCACAAGTTTTTTCATTTTTAATTTGATTTATTTAAAAATTTTTAATACTCCGTTAACTCCGCCTCTGGTAGATACTGGGTGGATTGAGTAGCTCAGTAAATGCCAGTGCCGGTCCCAAGCCCGGATGAAGGAGGAGGGTTACAGCGGTAGGTTAGCTCCCCGCCCTGCGTAAAAGAAATATTGCTAAAAATCCCAAGGAACAGCCTCGGAACTCGGATGGCTTCAAAGGAAAACGACATAGGCAAAGAAAAAGGCTAACGAATTTTGGATGTTGGAACATACAAGGACTGAATACAAAAGAAGATCAAGTATTTAAGGAACTCAGTACATACCGAATTGACATCGCAGTACTCAGCGAAACAAAAAAGAAAGGACAGGGGAACCACTACAAAGACGACTATATATACTTCTGGAGCGGAGTAGAAAAATCAAAAAGAGCCAAAGCTGGAGTAGCGGTCGTGATAAGAAAAAACATGGAAAAATGTATTACCAACTGGAACCCGATAGACGAAAGAATTATAACAGTAGACCTTACAACAAAGGGGAGAGACATAAAAATAATTGGCATCTATGCACCCACGGACGACTCAGATACAAACACTAAAGACATGTTCTTCGACAAACTCTCAGAAGAGTTAAATAAAATAAAAAAAAGACAAGAAATAGTCCTGCTAGGGGACCTGAACGGAAGAGTAGGTAAAGCTCTTGACAACAAAATAATTGGACAACACGGAGAAGATGTAGTAAATGAGAACGGAACAAGATGGTTGGAGGTATGCGAACAACATTCGTTAAAAATACTGAATGGATTTTACAAACATAGAGACATAAATAAATATACATGGACTCAAAATACAAGAAAACTGCAGTCAATTATAGACTATATAGTAGTTAAACAAGAGACATCTTTAAGACCTCACGATGTAAAAGTTTGGAGAGGGGCAGAATGTGGATCGGATCACCTACTAGTAAAGGCACCCGTGGAAATAAGATATATTAAACAACATAAATCCCAAGAACAGACAAACAAAGAATCCATACGGCTCTATAACATAGACAGCTTAAAAAATGAGTCCACAAGTTTTCTCTATAAACTACGTTTGGCACAAAAATTAGACGAAGAAATAAACGGAACAGCGGAAGAAATGTATGAGACTTTGAAAATCAAAATTCATGAAGCAGCATTAGAAGCTCTAGGTACGAAAGAAAAACTAAACCGTAGAAATTATTGGTGGACGGAAGGTTTATTAGAACTGGTAGAAGAACAGAAAAAACTGTATCTCAAATGGTTAGCGACAAAAGATGAGGAAGACCGAAAGAACTATAACAGATACAAATATATAGTAAAAAAGGAAATTAAAAAAACAAAAAACATAACCTGGGACAACAAGTGTGCAGAAATAAGCTCAATGGTAGGAGGATCTAGGTCCAGACAAGCTTGGAAAACTATCAACAGTCTTAGGAAAAATACAAACGAAACAAAAAAAATAAACCCCATAGACATAGAAAGATGGAAAAATTATTACGAAAATCTATTAAATGAACAACGTACACAGTTTCTAGACACACATATAGATATAGTTGAAACGGGGTTAAATGAAGTGGCGATGATTACCGTAGAAGAAATAAAAAACGCATTACAAAAAATGAAAAATAATAAAGCTCCTGGGCCGGGTGATTTACCTATCGAGTTATTCAAACATGCCACTGCAATAACATTAGAATTGCTTTGTAAAATGTTTAACAAGTGCCTACAAGGAGAAAGTATCCCAAGAGATTGGAAAGTCTCGTACATAAACTCCATCTACAAAAAGGGAAACAGGAATGACTGCAGTAATTACCGAGGTATCAGCATTACGTCATCCACTGGCAAACTGTATGAAAGAGTTCTGAAAGCCAGAATAGAAAAAGAAGCCACAGAGATCGAAGAACAAAGTGGATTCCGACCAGGGAGATCTTGTGTCGACAATGTATTTACTCTCAAACATCTAATAGAAAAGAGATTAGCAAGAGGACTAGAACTTCATGCCACTTTTATAGATCTCCGTAAAGCGTTTGACTCCGTACCACTGCAGAGACTATGGACAACATTGGAAAACGCAGGTATAAATGCAGTATATATAAATGCCGTGAAAAAGCTATATCAAGATAACCAAGCTTATATTAAGGTTGGAAACCAAATTTCCAAGGGTTTCACCCAAACAAAGGGTGTCAAGCAGGGCTCTTGCCTCTCCCCAACCCTATTTAAAATATATCTTGGTAATGCTTTAAAATATTGGATGAGAAAATGCAGCCCAATGGGCATATGGGTAAATGACACTCCTATATACACAATCCTCTTCGCAGACGACCAGGTAGTTCTTGCCGAGGACCTACAAGATATGACGTACATGATAAACAAACTAATAGACGAATTCAAAAAATGGGGATTAGAGGTTAATACCGAAAAGACACAATACATGAATATAGGAGGCATCGGTCAAGACATGGAAACAGAAAGCGGATTAATTAAAAACGTTGATCAGTACGAATATCTCGGAGTTACACTAAGCGAAGACGGAAGAGACGACAAAGATATAACAAGAAAAATAGGAAAAGGAAAAAAACATGATAAAAACACTACATCCGATCCTGTGGAATAAAACTTTAACTAAGAAAACAAAGAAAAATATATATCAGGCTATGATTCAGCCGGTGCTGACGTATGGGTCAGAAGTGTGGGTCTTCAACAAGAATATGTCACAAAAACTCCTCTCAACGGAAATGATGTACTGGAGAAGATGTTCCGGGTTAACTTTGTTTGACCACATAAGAAATGAAAACATAAGAGAGAGAATGAAAGTAAAGAACACAATAATGGATACGATAGCCGAAAAACAATTAAAATGGTATGGACACCTGAGACGGATGAACGAAGAAAGGATACCACGAAAGGTTTGGAACTGGAGACCTACACAGAGAAATAAAAGGGGAAGGCCAAGAAAGAAATGGATATCCAATATTCATATAGAAATGGAAAATAGAGGTCTTCAAGAAGGAGACTGGGCCGATAAGAAATTATGGCGATTGGGATGCGAGAAGCGACAAAATTAAAGTTGCAAACACTCGCTATATATATATATATATATATATATATATATATATATATATATATATATATATATATATATATATATATATATATATATATATATAATACTCCGTTTCAAGCATTACACATTCTTGACGTTTTCAATCAGTATATATATATATATATATATATATATATATATATATATATATATATATATAATAATACTCCGTTTCAAGTATTACACATTCTTGACGTTTTCAATCAGTTTTTTTACTTTAGCTATCTGAATTATAGTTTTGTCGTCTTTTTTACGTACAAATGTCCAAAGTCTAATATTAAGTTTATTACATAAAACTTAAGATGGAGATACCTTCACAAAAAATTTACAAAAACTACAGCGTCTAGCTTTATAAAAAAGGATCGATTTTTAGAATCTTTTTATAAAATAATACATTACTTTTTTACTCAAAATTATTACTGTGGATTGAGTCGTCCGACAGCATTGGTAGCTAATCCCATCGGGCTACATCACAGAACGGTTTCGGAATAAATATTCCATCATCAATGCTATCTGTAGCTGAATTATGAATTTAAATGTACGTAGTTAAGTTAGGGTTTTTATCCATGTATTTAGTGGCTTCAAACATGTAAATCCAACACTGATGATGGAATAGGTATTCCGAAAACGTTCAGTGAAGTAGCTCAATAGGGGTTTTATATTAATATACCTTTTATAAAAAGACGAGAAGGTAATTAGTGTAAAATTGTTTTTTATATAAAAGTTTAATGTTATGGCTAATGGATTTTGACAAGAGCTATGACCTTATAAATAACAGGTAAACTTGTGTACTAAATCGGCATGATTCATAGCTTTTGTCAAAATCCATTACCTTTAACCTATTTGTATAGTCATCGAGGAAATTATAAATCGAGGTTCTTTCTTTCTTTATGTCGCCAATGTCCAAATTGCAAACTATTATATTTTAGAGTTATTCGCTAGATTTCTTTATTCCTTCTTTTCATTATCTTTTATTCTGTGCATCATTCTTAAAATATTTTGTCTTTATGCTTTTTATATCTTGTCCATTACTACTCCATTTCTATCAAAATATGAATTTGGCAACAGGCCTAATTTAGATATTCTTTTGCTTTCAAGTTTTGCAAATTTTCTAATCGAGCTGTTCTTCGTGAGTTTATAGGATTTGTTATTTTTGACATTATATAGATTTTCTCTTTATTTACTTCTTTCGTTTTCTCCACACAATCTCTGCATTTTTGGCAATTCCTTCATTTATTGCTTTTTTTAGATTTATTTCTCACCAACTAGTTTTCACATTCGTAAATTCTTCTTCGCCCTTCTTCTGTTAATACCTGTCCTCTGCAGATCATGGCCTCACGTAGGTCCACACGACTTTTTTCTGTGCTAAGCATAATTAGTAGATTTATAAAATTCTGAACATGAAAGTATCATATAAAATAGTGGGAAACTTATGAATACTCCATGCTGCATGCATATTACAAATTTATGAACTTTCTGATGCGGCATATTTAGACTGAGTCCTAGAAATGACAAAAATGTATACTTTCCAAAGGTTTTTTATTTGCTCTAAATTGATCTTGCCATTCACCGTTTTTGCTTACTATAAGAATTGTAGACGTTTTATACTTCATTTTAATGCCGTATTTATCAAATGCTTCCACGACACGGTCGATAAGTGTCTGTGTATCCTTCATCCCATACACTCTTTTTATTTTCAATTCTTTCAAGATTTTATTGGCTTGTCTTACAGTCTCCCTTTGTTGTAAGCATGAGTTTCTGATTAGAGGTAAAATCTCTTATATCTTTTTTGACGTTCTAGATACAATTACGAAACACTAAAAGAAACTGCAGATTTTTTAAAAAAATCAGTCTCTGTCATTCCCAAAGTTGGCATCATTTGTGGATCTGGCTTGGGTGAGTATCAAAATAAATGCTTATATAATCTGTACTTTAATTTTTATTTGTTTATGTACACATTGCTCTATTAAGGTAACCCACATTTGCTATGTACTATCATATAACATATAACTATACTATGTATATCATATAACAATGTATTTTTATTTTATATAAGAAAATAAACAATTTTTCTACGTAAAAAGGTAAATTTAAGTTATATTTGTTTATGAAAAACAAAATATTAAATCATATAGAGGTTAGTATTTTTAAATACTTTCAAGTCTCGTTATGATAATAAAAGAGGTTAAAGGCCAATTGAAGGTTGTTTCCATAGTTTATTTTGAATAGACGAACAGTGATATAACATGTTTTCTAGGTTGTATAATATTCCATAAATATTCGTATCTTATTTCATATAAAAGAATTAGAACATAAATATACTTTTTTCTATTTAATATATTTTATGTTACTTACGTTATAATATAAAAAACCACAAAAAACTTTCAGCGTTGCTGTTTTTTGAAGGTCTTCAGAAAAATAATACGAGTAGGCTATAATTCATATAGGTAACTTATTCATGATACCCGTTCCGTCACTCTGGAATCATGTATCAGCTTGTTTAGTTCTAGTAAAATAATATCAATATTTATAACAATTCCTAAGAAAACACGCAATATTACTTAAAGATAATATACAATTTCTAGAAGGTATAAAAAGTGTAGCCTATGAAAAATTCGTGTAGACGTACAGCTGATTTTGCTTTGTTTTTTTAATAGTCTTAAAAAGTGAAAAAAATACTTTTTTGCTATAAAACGTTTCTTATATATTCTAGAGAAAAATGGTTTAAATAAAAGTTGTCGATCATAACAAATTCTTTATTTTTAGAGTTTCCTCATTACATTACATCAACAATTGACCGAGATAATTACAAAAAAACCTTATTTTTGCAATAATTTATAAATGTGAACAACTTTGTTTTTTTGCGTAATAACATGTAATACAACTACTCAAAATAATGGCGGTTGATGGGTTAAAAAAGTGTGCTAAATTTTAAACAGGTCAACCAAATAGTTTATAAGTTATTCAATTTGTTTATCCCCGAGTGCGATTATTTAAACAACTACTTACGCAAACAGTCACTATAGAGGTACCAAAGAATATTATATATTCTTTAGTACTTTATAAATCGCAATCGATTTTTGAGGCTTCATTTTTAAGTTATATTTAAAAAACCTCAATATTTTCTTAAATTTGTTATTAAAAAATAAATTGAATAACTTATAAACTATATGGTCGGTCTGTTTGAAATTTAGCACACTTTAGTAACTCATAAACTGTCACAATTTTGATTAGTTATCTTACATGTCATTATGCAAAAAACAAAAGTTATTAACATTTATAAATTCTCTTAAAACTGCAAAATAAGTGTTTTTTGTAAGTATTTTGGTCAATTGTTTATGGATTTTAATGGGAACTTAATAAACAACTTGTTATGATCTACAACTTTTATTTAAACAATTGTTCTCTAGAATATATTATATGAAACGTTTTATAGGCCAAAAATATTTTTTTCACTTTTTAAGATTGTTTAAAAAACAGTAAAATTAGTTGTACGTCTTCACGGATATTTTATCAGCTACCCCTCATATACCATTTAGAACCTTAAAATATTTGTACCTTTAAGATTTTTTTAGCTTTTTTCTTCCTTAACTGGTGTAATAGAATAATATCTTAATAAGCAGTACAATAAAATTATTTATTATAATTAATCCTGCATTGCCACAAATCAATTGTCCATTGATGTTACCATCGACTAGTTTCACCCTAGACATTCACTTGATTGCCATATATCTGAGCAACCCTGAACATACTTTATCCTCCTCCACTATGTACAGTTACAGTAACCACCAACTTCATACCAATACAATAGATCACTTAGAGTTTTATGGGCCCTTTACAAATTACTCAGATTTAATATTTGAGATAGACGAGGTTAAGTTACTCAAAAAAGGGTTCAAGTTCAACCCTAAAACATCTCATTAAAGAACATATATAAATGACCTGATTGGAGTAGAATGTGAAAGTCTCCTTCAATCACTATTCCTCGATAACAAAGAAAAAATCAGAGATAAAATGAAAACAATGTAAAGATACAAACAAAAAAAAAATAAAATCTAGATATAATGTAGATCCCTCCTTTATCAAATATGATAGATTGATAAAGAACTAAAAATAAAAGAAAATGGCTTGATAGTAACTAGAGCAGATAAGGGTAGCACGGTAACTATTCTTCAAACCTTCTAATTAAGGGATTCTTAATTAAAAATGTAAACATCAATACATTTAACAGCCAGGTTAAGGAAGCAACAAAGCGTTCCACAATTTTATTAGATACAAGAACTAAGGACAAAGTTGCACCGGTAAAAATAATTCCCAAAATTGAATGGACACTTAAAATACATAAAACAGCTATTTTTGAGAATGTGCCGATTGGACCAGAAGTGTCCTTTATTAACTCACCTATGAATTGTCCAAACAAACACCTAAATACTTTGATACATAAACTATGCAACTCTCAGCAGATAATGTCATAATATCTTTAGACATAACAAACTTACAATTTACAATGTGCCTATCGATGAGCTGGTTGATATTGTGAGTTTAGAACTGTGGAATGCAAATTACACACCAGACCTAATTATAGCGGCCACTGACCTTGTGTAGGTTTGTCTGGGGCAGAATTTCTTTAACTTCAATGGAATCACATATATATACACATACATATATATATATATATATATATATATATATATATATATATATATATATATATATATATATATATATATTGTTATGATATATAAAATCAAGAAAAATATTGGTTTGATTAAAATATTTCAAAGTTCAAAAACATTAAAATAATTCAGATAAGTAGGATAATAACCAACAAACATTTCGAAGAAGGAAAGTTTTTAAATTTTTGGATTACCTGTATTAAACAAAATGTACTATGCATAAATTATTTCTTTTGTTATACTATACTTGAGTGACCCGCATAATTTTAAGTGAAATCCAAAGAACAATTGAACCGGGTTTTCCAAATACATTAACGCAGTGATTATAGACAATAGAAGAGATTTGGAAAGAGGTTTTTGTTAGTTTTTAAGAATTATAGAAAAATATTATTTGTAAATAAGTTTTAGGAAATTTTATAATTATAGGTAAAAATTTGTTTGTTATCGGAATGAAAAAATGGGGAATTGTGACGAGTTTTGATTGGCGGAGATTGAAAAAGGTGGGATAGGTATGTAGGAATGAAAGTTTAGCTAGATTTGGGAGTGAGAAAAGATAGTCAGTTGGTTTCGAAGGGTGCAAGGCGAACGGCCGTTGTTCTAGGGTAGTTTCCCAGAGGTAGGAAGCAGTAGCAGTGAAAGTTTGTGAGTTTTCGTGTAGTTAATGTATCTGACAGAAGCTGATCCAGTAAAATATTGTAAGTCATATTTTTCTACTTATATTCCAAGAGTCACTGTTCAGGCCAACGAGAGATTCAGTTTATCGTAAAGAAAAGATATTCCAAGAGTCATTTTTCATTCAGGCCAACGAGAGATTCAGTTTATCGTAAAGAAAAGATATTCCAAGAGTCATTTTTCACTCAGGCCAACGAGAGATTCAGTTTATTGAGAGAAGAAGCTAGCATAATTTGAACGATTCGTGCATTTGAAGGAGATCATTAAGGACGAGATACTTGCAATAATTTATTGTAAGATTGCTGATTACTTAGGGAGCGGCCACGAGAAAATAGTATAGTCTACAAATAACAAGGATTTGGACCACTCATCATCAGAGAGAGATAGTTTTGTTTTCTGCAGTTTTTCTTTCATCGATAACACAATTTTTACACTTAATTTAGAAAGGATATAAATATTTTGATTAGGAGATTTAGAGTAATACTTGGATTTTGAGATTTCAACTAATATTGTTTGTACCATTAATTTTGATTGTTCACGTACGTAGAACAAAATTTTGAGAATTATTATATGAGATTTTGTTTGTTGAAAACTTTTTAGTGTGAATTATTTCATTATTTTTATTTCAATATATAGTGTTAGATCATATGTGTTTTTTATTATTCCGGTATTCTTTGGACCTTACCTTTCACATGTAATAGCATAGATATTGAAGCACGAATTTAACCTTGAGATAAAAGAATTAAAAATTGTGATAGAGTCATAATCATATCATTTAAATAATTTTAATTAATCAAAAAAAATTAATTAGCTAACAAGACTTTAAATATCACAATAATATATATATATATATATATATATATATATATATATATATATAATTACATATATACATTTTAAAACAATGAATTTTCTAACTACATTAAGTTTTACGCTAATGTAGATATGTAGACGATACCAGAGTATCGTCTATAGAGATTTGGACTGAAGGAACAGATTGCCTTCAGTACATTAATACACTGCATCAGAAAATTAAATTTACAGTTGAAACACAAGATACAAGTCGTAGGGTAAATTCTCTAGACCTGACAATAACGTTAAATAGCACCATTATTTCCTTTGATGTTATAAAAACCCTTCGAGTTAGTTAAGTAAAAAGCAGAGTATAGTGCTAGTAATGTTACAGGTTATTATTTGTGCAATAAATTAACAAAACGTAAGGGATACTAGTGAGTTTGTGCTTAGTTTTTAATAATAAGTTGGGCTAGAAAAAAGTTGCTCATTGATCATATTATTTGATCAGATTGTAATGTTCTGAAAGATATTATGAAATAAAAAACTGAACTCCCTGCTTTGGCTGACCCATCCACTTATAACATCACGTGAAATTGGTAAAGCTGATTATGAATCAATAAATAACTAATATAGCTTATCTCAAAATATATCGACTTGGTTTTCCCCTCGTTAAAGGATTAGTCTTCTTATTGCCATTATTATCAATGGACTAACCAAAATTATTGGTTCTTAATGACAAATCATCAGAGGCGGACTCCAGGTAAAAATAATAATACAGTGATTTTATTTAAAGACCTCAATTTTATTTTTAAAAAAATTCTTTTATTGCTTAAATTTATCACTATAGAAATCTTATAATGGTAATACAAACATCAATAATAAATATTATTCCATATCTAATTCTGTTTCATTGTCAGAGTCCTCATTTGTATTAATTACTATGGGTTGTATATTATAAGTTTTCATAGACAGGTAGGACTGTTCAACCTTTACAATATGCTGTTTTGAATTTTTCCAGATTTCTACCGACACATACTTAGAGTATACAAATTCTAATTACTGATACCACCTATTAATTTTAATTCCCTGCCATTAGCCGCACCTGAGCGGTCGACCCTGAGCGGTCAGATAGAAATTTAAAACGCGTTTATCCATTAATAATGACAATAATACCACTAATCATTTAATGACGGAAAAGCCAAGACGATATATTTTGAGACAAGCTATACACTGAATCTAAAGATGCAGATGGGCATGAAGTTTGTGTGCAGTCGGTGTCTGAGAGGGAAATTATTTCTTAATGATAAAATGTAAAATTTTCTCTGACATTCGTTCCTTATATAAAAATTAATATAAGTCCTGTTTTAATTTATTCCTAGAAAGAAACTGAACAATCACTAATAGATAATATACGATGTCTTTGTAAAGATGTCAGTAATATTCTCAAAATAAATAATTTGCCCAGCAGTATGCATTTGAATAATAGGAAATTAGAAAATATAGATCGGAAAATATAAATATAGATATACGTCTTTCCTAAAATTCCAAACCTACTTTTTAAAAACAAATGTTGCCCAAACAAAATCTCTAATACATTTCTTAAAAAAATATATGAACATCCTACAAATAATTTGACGTGACGAAAGACCTGAAGAGATTAATTGAGTGGTAAAATAATAGAATGTAGTAAGGAGTACAACATTAAAAAGACAAAGTTTATATGAATTAGTAATCACTTCAATAATAATAAAACCTTAAGCATTGGGGGAAAATATATTTAAGGAGCGAAAAAGAATAGTTATCTAGATAAACTAATAACTGAAATCAACAAGTAGGTATAAGTATACTGTAAATATGAGAACATGAATAAAGAAACATGACAGAATAAGATTCAAAGATGTAATCCATCGTCTGTATCATAAAGATCATCTAAACCTTATAGAAACTATCGAAAACATCTACAATAATAACAAAATGGAAGTCAGAATAGATCATCGAGCAAAAAGACAAAAGAGGGAATCTAATCGTTATGAAAAGGAGACCAAAAAAGTGGCCTCTGATGGCGAACATATCCGGAAATGCGAATGCGCCAAATTTAAATTTTCCGACACTTATTAACAGTAGCTATAAAATAGTTTTCAGAATGTGTCTTAGACGAGAAAGTTTTAATTAAATATTAACGATAACAGTCTAAAATTTGAAACAATTATGATATTATTTGTCCCAACTGTCACATGAAAAATCTTATTTATATTGAAGTTTTTTAACAATTATTTTTAAAAAACAAAAATATAAATAAGATTTCATGTGACAGTTGGGACAAATAATAACATAACACAACTAAATTTGTCTTTTTGCTCAATGGAATAGATAGACAACTTACAGAACCTATAGAAATAGACAGCGGAATCAGACAAAGGGATTCATTAAGCCCCATGCTCTTCAATTTAATCGTGGATGAAATCGTCACAAGCGTTAACAAAGGAAGAGGATAAGAATGAGAAACAAAAGAATAAAAATACTCTGTTGCGCAGACGACACAATCTTGATAACACAAGATGAAGATAGTCTCAAAGACTTTTGTCAATCTCATCTCATAAAACTAAAACAATAGTAGTCATTAAAGAATCAACCAGATGTAAAATAGAAATTGATGGCATCAGTATTAAACAAGTAATGGAAATAAAACACCTTGGAATTTCACTGTCCAGCTATGGAGACCCGGAGAAAAAAATTAGAGATCAAGTACAAAAAGCAAATAAACTGGCAGGATGCCTTAATAACACTATATGGCGAAACAGACACATTAACATTTAAATCAAGAATTATAAAGTCAGTGTAAGACCTATAATGACATAAGTCCCAGAAACAAGACCCGACACAGTCACAACACAAAAGCTACTGGAAACGCTAAGATGACAGTACTGAGAATTACAGGAAATACACTAATAAGAGATCGAAAGAGAAGTGAAGACATTAGAAGTAAATGTAACGCACAGTGTATAAACCAAAGGACACTAAATAGAAAAAAAGAATGAAATAACCACATAAGCAGAATGGAGGAGACCCGTGTCGTTAAAATAGCAAGAGATAAGTCACCCATCGGCAAAAGAAATATCGGACGACCGCGAAAAACATGAAGTGACAATATACTTCTATATATAGACTTACATAGAGGTATTAATCCGACAATCGACAAACAGAATTGCTTATAAAAAGGAAGAAGAAGAAGAAGAATAAAGAAAGCACGAGAAAATTTTGTCAGAATGAAGAAAATTGTATGTGGTAATGATTTGTATCGGAATGTAAAGACGCGATTAATTAAATGTTACGTGTTCAGTGTATTTTATTACAGTTTCTAAGCGTGGACACTATACAAAGTGCGATAAAAGGCACATAACTGCATAACAGTTGGCATATAACTGCAATATAGCATCGGAAGAAGACTATATTCTGACTCAGAAATATGGCAATTTGGTTTATAATAAATTTTTAGACATTATTTTGTCCTATACTGCATACTTTTTCATATTTTTCTATTAGCTGACATATTTTCCTGCTTTGGACTTTCAACGCGTAGTAAGATGGCAACAGTGGCTATTAAACCTGAAATTCAGCATATTTATTCTATTTGTATCTTTTTTAAGAACCAAAGCCATATTTACTGAAATTGACCATTTGTTTAAAGGTACCTTGGCAGAGGGTTTGGAAAACAAAGTGACCGTACCATATGAAGACATACCCAACTTCCCAAAGAGTACAGTGCAAGGCCATGCCGGTGCTCTCGTTTTCGGTAATGTTGGAGGCATCCCTGTAATTTGTATGAAGGGCAGATTCCACTATTATGAAGGGTATCCTTTATGGCTATGTGCTATGCCTGTACGAGTGATGAAATTATTAGGAATCACCCATCAGCTACCAATGCTGCTGGAGGATTAAATCCAAAGTAAGGAACTTTTCATATTATTACTTATATGAGTTGAACATTATCTTATACTTTAGTTTTTTTAAGTTATCTTGTGTAAAAGTCCCCGTTTGAGAGTCATATTTAAAATGAATAAAATTTTGAGAATATTAAATGAAGACGAAATCCTCTATCTTCTAACATTATTTTGTATGTTTTAATATCTAAGATAGGCCCCCAAATTCTATCTTAAGTACTCTTTCCTTCTGCTGATATCTTCGATCTGATTTTCACTATAAATTCAATACTAGTAAAATAAATTTAGATATATCTTAAATTCTTAAACAACTTTGACATTAGATTAGCTTTTACTTTAAATAACATGTTTTACTAATTTACCAATCTTTAATTCAAGTGATATAAAATTGAATGCTCGAATAAATGAACTTTCATCAAATGAAAGGCAGATATCGAGCACAGTTTATTAATTAAATCTTGCCCAAGTACTTTCGCTCCTAGACAATCTTCGGGGGAATTTCGTTAAATTTGGCCTATCCAACAATCCATTGAGAATGTCATAAACATAAAATTGTACCTAAACACTACACGCCACAAGGATAAACAGTTTAGAATTTAAAAAAACGGCGAGGCTACATATTGGTTAGCATTCGGAGAGAGAATCTTATTCATTCATTGATAAAAATCTTTAATTACTCGACTTGTTACTATAATAACTATTCTTCCTCGACGAATCTCGTCATTACTTATTTATTATCTGTGCTTGAATGTATTCGCATAACAAATTACATTAGGTAATTCACCAGGTAATCAATTCAATTTATCCAGGATATGGATATATGGCTTAAGAACATTGATTGTGCTTGAATTTATTGAGGCAGAAAATCTTCCTATAAGTAGGATCTGATGTTAGATGGCACTTTTCCATGACCTTAAAACAATACAAGAACCCACCATTGACGAAAATTTAGGTCCCGAAATCCTACTAGAAGAGATAACAGCCGTCAGACAAATGAAGGATGGAAAGGCATCGGAACTTGATGAAATTTCTGCAGAACTGCTGAAGCTATTAGATACAGGATAAATAACAATAAAAATAGTGGTCTTAAAATCAATCAGACAAAAACAAAATATATGCCTGCAAATAAAAACGCACAAATAAGGCAGCTGCCAAATTTAACAATAGGAGAATACAACATTGAGGCGGTAAAAAACTTTACATACTTAGGATCCCTAGTTACGTCTGATAACAACGTTGCAGAGGAAGTGAAGAGGAGAATATTTATTGCCAATAAATGTTACCATGGCTTAATTAGGCAACTAAGATCAGATAACGTCTCCAGAAAAACAAAATGCCAAATATACAAAACCTTAATAAGACCGGTACTCACATACGGTTCAGAAACCTGGACACTCTCTAAAAGGGAGGAAACGTTATTAGTCACCTTTGAAAGAAAAATCTTGCGACACATATATAAGGGCACAAAAGAAAACGGGATTTGGCGGAGAAGGTATAACTTTGAACTATACAACATATACCAGGATCCGGATATCATAACATTCATTAAAATAGGAAGGCTACGTTGGATTGGACATGTGGAAAGAATGGAAGAAGGCGAAATACCAAACAAAATATTCAAACAAGTGCCAGTAGGAAAAAGAACAAGAGGAAGACCGAAGCTGAGATACGTAGAACAAATAGAAAATGATATAACAACATTAAAAATTAAAAACTGGAAAAAAAAAGCACGAAACAGGTCAGAATGGAGAAGAATCCTTGAACAGGCCAAGACCCAAAAAGGGTTGTCGAGCCAGTGATGATGATGAAACACTACACGCCACAAGGATAAACAGTTTAGAATTTAAAAAAACGGCGAGGCTACATATTGGTTAGCATTCGGAGAGAGAATCTTATTCATTCATTGATAAAAATCTTTAATTACTCGACTTGTTACTATAATAACTATTCTTCCTCGACGAATCTCGTCATTACTTATTTATTATCTGTGCTTGAATGTATTCGCATAACAAATTACATTAGGTAATTCACCAGGTAATCAATTCAATTTATCCAGGATATGGATATATGGCTTAAGAACATTGATTGTGCTTGAATTTATTGAGGCAGAAAATCTTCCTATAAGTAGGATCTGATGTTAGATGGCACTTTTCCATGACCTTAAAACAATACAAGAACCCACCATTGACGAAAATTTAGGTCCCGAAATCCTACTAGAAGAGATAACAGCCGTCAGACAAATGAAGGATGGAAAGGCATCGGAACTTGATGAAATTTCTGCAGAACTGCTGAAGCTATTAGATACAGGATAAATAACAATAACAACTGAAATATTGAAATATACAAGGCAGGAAAAATATCAGTAGAGTGGCTCAAATCGGAGTTCGTATGAATGCCCAAAAAAACAGGAGCAAAAGTTTGTAAACACTAGAGGACCATAAGCCTAATGAGCCATCTGTTGAAGCAGTTTTTAGAAGTCATCCACAATCAGTTTGGATTTGTGAACGCGCTGTTGTTACGAGGGAAGCGTTATTGTGTAGCGTGCAGATATTATTTCAGAAATGTAGAGATGTCAGCTATGATGTTTTTGCATGCCTGATTTACTACAAGAAGGCTTTCGATAGAGTCAGGCATGAACAAATGACGGAAGTGCTGAAGAGGACATGGATTGACGGAAGAGACTTAAAAATAATAGCTAACCTGTATTTGAATCAATCAGCGGTGGTCCGAATAGATGGAGAATATACAGATCACGTAAAAATCTTAAGAGGAGTGAGACAGATGTCCATAATGTCACCACTGATATTCAAACTGTACTCGGAGCACATTTTTGAAGAGGCTCTAAAAGATATTGATGAAGGCATCTCAATAAATAAGAGCTACTCCAATGCATTTTTCAAGGTAAAATTGAAGGAAAAAGGGCTCCAGGACGAAGAAGAATATCCTAGCCTGCTAACCCGAGAGCATGGTATAGAAAGACCTCAAACAGCAGATGAGAAGGCAAAGTATAGGGTAGATGATCGCAGGGTGGATGCCGATGCTTCCCATGTTGTGCCGCATAGCTTTTGGGATGCTACTATTTCTGGATTTCCGTTTTCCGCTGTTTTAGTCAGATGCTCTTCAAAGGATAGGGTACTGTTGAGGGACAGCTCTAGCGTTTTATTGTAGGCATGTGTCTGGTGTTTTCGAAATGTATGTTAATTATTCTTCCGGTAAGATTGAAGAGGCTCTAAAAGATATTGATAAAGGCATCTCAATAAATCTCAATAAATAAGGGCTACTCCAATGCATTTTGCAAGGTAAAATTAAAGGAAAAAGGGCCCCAGAACGAAGAATATCCTAGCCTGCTAACCCGAGAGCATAGTATAGAAAGACCTCAAACAGCTATTCCGTATAGCAACCAACAAAGTCATCATAGCCAGACTGATCGCCAACTTTCGGAACGGACAGACACCCTAAGAAGAAGATATGTGTCATAATTTGGGTAGTGGAATATGGCTCCGGACTAGGAACCATTACGGGTGCGTACGCCAGTAATTATTCTCAATGTATTGTTTAAATGGACATACATTTTTTGTACATGCGGGTTGCCAGACTTCGAAACAGTATTTTGCAGACGAGAAGGCAAAGCCCAGGGTAGATGATCGCAGGGCGGATGCCGACACTTTCCATGTTGTGCCGCATAGCTTTTGGGATGGTACTATTTCTGGATTTCAGTTTTCCGCTGTTTAAGTCAGATGCTCTTCAAAGGATAGGGTACTGTTGAGGGACACCTCTACGTTTTATTGTAGGCATGTGTCTGGTGTTTTCGAAATGTATGTTAATTATTCTTCCTGTAAGATTGGTATTTAGATGGAAACCGCAAACCTTTATTTTCATAACTTAAAGTTGAAGCTTCTATCAAAGAAAACTGTGCCAACTAAGTGAGTTGCTACCTATAGGTCCTCATAGACTCGCCTAAAGGCCAGCAACCCTAGTTTGGGAGTCTTACGTTGTCATGAAGTAAATTCCGTTTAAAACTTAACCATCCTATAACATTATCAACAACAATATAATTTCATATGAATTTAATAACATATAAAGGGTTTTACCCGTATATTTAGTGGTATCTTTTATGTATACCTAGTAGAAGCACTGATGAATGAATAGTAATTCCCAAAACGTTCTGTAATGTAGCCCAAAAGGGTTCTTTTGTATTATTATATCTTTTATAAAGAATTTGTTAAATAACATTTTTGTGATTTATGGTATACAGCCGACTACGGGAAATTCATTTTCCTTGTAAATTTGAATATAAATTATATATTTTGCAGATAACATTTAACGCAGTTCCAATTATTCATATTTTTATGTAATAGGTACAAAGTGGGAGACATAATGCTCGTCAAAGATCATATTAACTACGTCGGATTCGCTGGTAACAATCCTCTTCAAGGTCCCAACGATGATAGATTCGGGCCCAGATTCCCATCCATGAGCAGACCTTATGACAGAGAATTAATAACAAAAGCTAAAAGAATAGCTATGGATCTGGGTTTAGGAAAAGACATCCATGAAGGTGTTTATAGTTGCTTAGGAGGGCCAAACTTCGAAACCGTAAGTACTTACTACTTTCCGTGTTAAGGTCACTTCTATAAACCTTATGCTGCCAATACTTGCCACTTGGATAGCCCTTTCATTAGCTGTCATTATGTCAAGAAGAGTGTATTCTTATCTCAAGTACGTGCTGAGAATTCTGTATTTTGCCACAGTCACATCTATCATCCTCTGAATATTCCCACCGCTATATTTGACTTGCATTTCGACGTAATACTAGTGCTAATAACCCTTGTATTGCTTTACGACCTATGAAACCAACAGACACAAAGTTTCTCTCCAAAGATAAGGCGAAGCTGTTCAGAAGTGGTTTTTCTGAAGTCGTGGAACGCATACCACTTCTACTACGTTTCAATTTTGTTAGAGCCTTATTTTTCTAAACATAGGATGATGCGGTTCACTTACTTGTCTCCTCTCATTTCAGAAACCACGGTTCTTAAAATCGTATGAGGAGCAATTCATATTACAGGGTATATCTTAGAGAATGTAGTGGGTTTTGAACAACCAGAAATTATTCGGCTAGTCTCAGTAATAGCGTGATCAACGTAGCGAGTGTGGCCTGAACAGGACCAAATTGAAGATGAGTATTCCGCTATAGAGGAATACAAAGCCAGGGCTGAGATTCGTAGCACAGTCGGCTGAGCTCCCAACTTGTTCCAGTTATGGAACTTAACGGTTAACTTTCGGATTATGTTGTTTCTTGAAATTTTGGTTCTTTATCTTAACAATGGTTTTTAAATGTTAGAGCTCAATCCAGTCTTACCTCAGGATATTTTGGTCCTTTGCAGTGATCTAATAGCTCACCTCCCCGTGGCATGTTCAGCTTCTTCCTATCATGCTGGTTGTTTAAATGGTAAGCGCACACTTATTGAGGTTTTCGAGGGGTATAATTTTAGAAAGATATTTTTCTAGTAGTCTGTTAGCGCTTTTAGTGCAGCCAGCAATTTCTTTTCTATTTTTCCGAAACATTTAAATTGTACAACCAATTCCGTTTCATCAATACAGATAAAGCGTTTAGTGTTAGGATGGTTCAGTAAGTCCTTTGCGTATATTTCATAAAGGAGGTGTGTCAATAAATTCCCCTGAGGTAGACCTTTTCTTATTTCTCTAGCTATTTTTCCGAACTCTCTGGTCATATTGTACACCTTTACTTACAATCTTTAGTGGTTAAAAGTGTCATAAGTAGCAATTAAGTCAACGTAAGGGACGCCATTCATTTGCTTCCGTTCAAACTAATTTTGAGAGAACCCAAAACAAATTGATTGGTCAGTTGGTTGTTAAAACCAGTGCCAATAAAACACAAGTACCCACATTTTAGATATGCTGCATTAAGTTTAATATTTACCACAATTTGATAGTGTGAAATTTGATCCGGTGTTATTTTTGTTATGTCCTGTAGTGAAGTTGTAGGGTCACTGTTAAGATTGTTTCACAATGGTAAATTAACAAGTTCCACGCACGATGACTATTCTTTACCACGTCTACCTCCTTCGGCAAACTGCTACATCTTTCGCTTCTGATGTTAGATACTGCTTTCATAAGTTCTACGCCAAACTCAATTGTTTCATTGGATAATAGGTCTCTATTATACGTTTGCTGATAGTCCTGGAGCAAGACTTTCGATTCGAACGTAGCAAGACCTGCTACATATTCTGTCCTGTAACCTCTGGAGATATGCATCGTGGATTTCATTTTAACGAGATCATCAAAATTTTCTGGTATTGGCTTTAGTTTGATTTCCTAATACCCTCGAGAGGGAATTTCACCGTAATTGGCATTAGCTGTATATTTCTGCATTCATGTCATTTCGATGTATGTTTAAATAACAAACCATATGTTGTTTTATATTTTCTGTTATTTTAGGTTGCAGAGCTTAGAATGTTAAAAAAGTTTGGAGCCGACGCTGTAGGCATGTCCACAGTCCACGAAGTAATTACAGCCCGGCATTGTGACCTGAAAGTCCTAGCTTTTAGCCTTATTACAAACGAATGTATTGTCGAATATGACAATTTAGCTGTTGCTAACCACGAAGAGGTATTGGACGTTGGAAAAATAAGGCAAGAGACCCTTCAGAAATTTGTCAGACAAATCGTGGAGTTCATCGGAACAGCGTTTTAGGATTAATAATTGTAAAAATGTATGTTCGTAATTATACTAGTGGCATATAGTTTTTTTATTTCACGTATTGGGCTTGAGCTATTACACACCGTTGACATTTATCAAGAGAATAGCAACATGCTCGGTAAAGGCGTATTGTGTCGTGCCCACACAGGCATGAAAGTTCCCTGAGAATGGTCTATAGGTAGGAATTCGCCATACCTTCTTTTATATTAGACCTTTTATTTAAATTTAGAACTCACTAGTTATGCATCCTTATTTCTCCCATGTTATGAAGAAATAAATTGAAATTAAAAAAAAAAGCGGAACGTAGTATCCAAATTCAGACTAATTTCAAGAATTATGTACAGCAGACTAAGAAAGAATTACCAGTTCCCACAACATCGAGATATAAACCAACATTAGAGGACGAATTTTATGGAGTACCTCAATTTTAAAAAGCGAATACACCACTTGGATCTACCTATTTGTAGTGAAATGAATTCTCTATGTAGTGAAATGTTAAAATTTTTATTAATTATTATACAACCATTTGCAACTAATAATGACACATTTATAAAGAACACACATTTTTTAAATAAATTATCGAATATTGAATTTATTCAAAATAATATTTTAGTATGTTTTGACATAAATAGTTTGCTTACAAATGTGCAGTTAGATAATACTTTGAAAATAATCAAAATAAAATTAAGAATAATGATTCTTTGACAATTAGAACAAGACTAAATATATCAGCTATAATTGAGTTATTGGCATCATATACTGATATACTATTTTTAAAAAAATAATTAATTCTATAAACAAAAATTTGGTCTAGCAAAGTTTTCGAAACAAATATTTCTAAACAAAATTTAAAACCTATAGTATGGTATCTCTACATCTTCGTAAAAAGTATGGTATAGATATGTAGATTATGTGTTCATTTGAGTGTCAAGGTATCTTAACAATGTTTATTGTTCAAAAAAGAAAGTTCGGGAAATGAGAGAAGAGGGTGTTGACACTAACAACCAGTGCAACTAGTAATTAGTGTTTACCACATGTACTTTCTACGACAAAATTATGAAAATGCGCTAATTGGTACCAAAACAGCAGTGATCCCCAAGAACTACCCGGACAAAATGGTATACGAGAATGAAATGGTGCCCATAGAACATATTCTTCTTCTTCTTTAAGTGCCATCTCCCAATCGGAGGTTGAATATCATCACTATCTTTACTTTATCTACTGCTGCTCTAAAGAGTTCTATAGAAGTGATTTAAACCAGTCCCTTAAATTCTTCAACCACGACACTCTCCTTCTTCCTATACCCCTTCCTCCTCTTATATTTCCCTGTATTATTAGCCTTAGCAGTTCATATCGATGTCCTCTCAGTACGTGTCCCAGATATTGTAACTTTCTTATTTTTATCGTGTTTATTATTTCGCATTCTTTGCCCATTTCTCGCAATACTTCCGTGTTAGTTCTCTTCTGTGTCCATGTTATTCTAAGCATCCTCCTGTAACGCCACATTTCAAAGGACTGTAACTTATTTATGTGTTCTTGCTTCAATTTCCAGCTTTTGAAAACACGTAGCATCTCAGTACTCTTACTCTCACTTCTAATCTAAGATCTTTGTTGCAGAGAATTGTTTTCATTTTTACAAACGCATTTATTGCTATTTCTATCCTAGCTCTTATTTCGGTTGTTTGATCATTATTGTCTGAAATCCAGGTTCCTAGGTATTTGTATTTATCAACCCTTTCTATCGGTACATTTCCCAAATGTATGTTTGTTGGTATATTTGTTTTCTTTGTTATTATCATGTATTTGGTCTTTTTTATATTCATTTTTAGTACATATTGTTCACAGAAACTGTTTGTTTTGTTTAGCAGTAATTGGAGTTGTTCAGCAGAGCTTGCCATAATCACGGTGTCATCTGCATTACTTATGTTGTTAATAGATCTTCCGTTAATTATTTTTCCTTCACTTTGAGATAGTAATGCTTCTCCAAAAATGGCTTCACTATATACATTAAATAGTAATGGGGACATAACACATCCCTGCATAACTCCTCTCCTGATTTTAATTTCTGGACTGGGTTCGTTATCGATTACGATTTGTGCTCTTTGATTTCAGTAGAGGTTTGTTATTATTCGTAAGTCCCTGTGGTCTATGTTTTTTGTCTTTAGAATTTGGACTAATTTTCCATGTCTTACTTCTAATAGAGATATAAAGATATTCTAATAAACCTTATAGATAAAGCCCCGTCTGCTCCTCAATATGAAGGAAGTCCCAAGGACGAGTACGGACAAAGGAGTCCGAAGTAGAACTGAATAGGCTACAGTGTAGCCTATTATCAACCCCATCATGATAGGTTTATGGGAACACTAATAAACCAAAGTCTGCGACAATTACTTATACAGAGGAGACCGAAGGTATGTAGATAGAAGAAACGTCATAGGGGTAATAAGTTGAACATCCAATAAATAGGGGAACTAAATTATATTGTAACTATCACAATATATCAAACATTAAAATTAGCATCTAAACCTTTTGTAGATCTGACCTATGTAGCCATACACACTTCAGTCATATCCCAATTGGTGCCTTTTATCTAGAGCACAAGGCACATTGGTAGAATATAATGAAACAACAAGGTTACATACATAGATATCAACATTAAGTGCCGTATCACCTGAGATAAGAAAAGAACACTAACGGCAATGTGGTAAATTACAATATTTCAACTTGTATACATTTGTATTACAGACTCGTTATATACATTTCTTCGGTTGCACATTAGTTAACCAGGGATGACAACCATGTGGAATTTTGAGAACTTCTATACATTTCTTCCAATAAATTCGTTATTGTCCATTTAACCTAAAGATTCATTAGCTTTTTATAGAATCGCATAAAAAAATATTACTCAGAAGGCAGGTACACTTCAGTTAAAACAGACAGACAGTTTAAATTTAAAAGGAAAAAATACCAGTATATTTTTAAATGTATTTAATTTCTTTTGAAAATATAAAATTTTTATCGAGTCTTTTAAATACGCACACAAAATTCTTATCCTATGCTTAATTAAATTGACGAACATAAATTAAATCACATTTTCTGAAATGCCTACTAAGAATATCTGTTGACAAAAGTTGTATTACAATTAAACAATACTTGAAAATAATATTAACTGTAATATTACTTTTTCGTTAATTATGATTCTTCGATGACCATAAGGAATCTTATTTGAAATCAAGAGAAGAATTAATACCAACCGAAACTAAAGTAGTGATGCCGACTCTTAGCCAACTTTCAATTTTCTTCTGTCTTGCCTAATAGAAAAGTCTATGTCATAATTGGTTACCAATAGTTAAAAGTGAGAAAGATCAAGTATAGTCGATATATCAAATGACAATGAGTGCAGAATTTTAAATGAAGAATTATTAATAAAAAAATACTCGCCGCGGTGTCATGGTTTCTCATAGTGAAGTAAGTCTCATAACTTTTTAGCACATTTTTAGGATAATCGAAGGATTGAAAAAACAATAAATATTGAGTGTGTCATTGTTGCAACACGTTAAAAAACGTGAAAAAAAAAATAAAAAGAAATAGTATTATTTGGTAAAAAAGAAAATTAGTTTCTAGCCGGATAATGCAACAACCGACAACAAATTATGGAATGGTTACTGTTTCCAGAAATTAACACCTGTTGCCAAAACTGGAAAGGGCAGATCATCACTTAGGTTCGCCATTTGATAATACAGAAATTGCTAACTTTGTATATAAAAGCTTTTTACCTTTTTAAGCTAGATATCAAAGAATCGTCGTAATACACAATCAGCCCCACAGGTATTTATTGAGACTTCATTAAAATGGGATACACAAAAAAACACCCAAAAAAGTGTTCCCAACCTGTTACACCAATTTATATATTAATAAAATGAACTGTGTGTTCACTGCTTCAAAAAAATTACATTTTTGTCAAGATATTCAACACAATAATAAATAATTACGCTTAACCTTTAATTACAGCTATAGGTCTTAGTTTAATAGCCTTCTTCGAAATTCCGGCAGCATGGCATGTATTTACAACATCAGTGACGTTTTTATAAGATTCTGGAGCCTCTTCCATAACTAGTTTCGGTGATGCGACTCGAATGGAAATTCCCATGTATTCGAGCTTCCGTAACACATCAGTATAATCCAGATTCCTTCTTGATTTGGCTCGGGACAAAGCTCGACCCTAAAATTAACTTATTAGGCTCATAAAACACATTTCTTATATTTCTAACACAAAACCATTTTATAATAATTGAACTTCGGGTGAGTGTCTACAAAAAAACCATTAATGATTCATGTATAGATTACTTATAAAATCTCATGACGTATATCTAAGCACGAAACGATGAGATCCGACATTACTAAAAACATTTTGTTGTCTGTAATCCGTTCTCACAGTAAGACAAAGTCGAACTAGTTTTTGCATAAGTAAAAAAGTTAGAGTATTTATTAATTTTCTGCTAACAGTCGGTTATAATACTTCATACTGGGATACCAAAATTTTTAAGTTATGTTTATTTTAATATTTGAAAACTTTTTTCTTTAACTTTATTTATGGAACGGGAAACATATTTGGGATATCGGGAAAATATTAAGGAACGTTAAAATAAACCATTAACTTCGAAATTTGGTTCACCCGAAAGAAGCATTTGCAAGCCCAGCCCCAAATCAATGGTTAATCCATTTAAAGAACACATTACAGGAAATACTATTTATACTGCCATATTTTTCTATGGGTTTAGGAAGTAAGTGAAGTAAACGTAGTATAACTAATTTTATTTAACTTACTGAACTACAAAAAAAAATTCATTAACAATTATAAATACACTAATAATTTTCGCCCACAATAATATAGATCTAGCTTATAAACACACTTATCTAATTACTGTCTATTCAAAAGAGCCCAGCAGTTTATATACACGATCATCTGTTGTAGAGTTTTATCGAAGGTACCAATGCCGAATTAGCAATTAAGAGATACCAGAAAAATACACATACAGAGTTCGAGAACTTTGCTGACAAAGTGGTTAATTCGACTTCTAGAAATACGGTTACGCCAGGGCCGCAAGTAGAGCGTTGAGCACCTGCTTCTTTCAGGCTGTTCGCATCGAACGGTACTTAAGTGGGCCAGGTCGGTGGATTCTGTCCTTCATAAGAGCTAACGCGCACTTATCGAATCCGGCCACAGTCTGGATTGCGGCTAGTCGGACTGTCCATGTTTACGTGGTTTTAATGAGCCAACGCGCACGTGGCCGTTACAGCCAGCTGGTCGAACCTGCCACTTAAACTGCTTCCTCTTATTTTGGATATTGAGAACCTGGGACTGCGTTGCTGTGATGGGAAAGGCCTGGCGGTCGATTTTCTGTACTCTCCTCTTATATGTCGTCTGCAATCACGTTGAAAGTGGCCTACCAATCCACAATTACCCTTGGCGTTTTTGTTTAAAAGAATCAGCAATTGGACCGAGATATTTCTTGAATTGGGCGGCCAACATCTGGGGCTGCGTATTTAGATCGCTTCCTTTCACTTCGGCAACACTTTTTATTTTAATGGAACTTGCGTTGATGATTGCGATGAAGAATGGACACATTCTTCATGGCTTCATACTTCAATGCTGCGATAATAGTGTCCTTCAATATTTGATAGCGTCCTCTACCTAGTCGTAATGTCTACTGGAGATCTACATCGTGCACTCCATCAAGGAAATGGGCATGGTGAATTAGTGTAGGAATTCTTCCTGAGCTTCCGACCAATCGAGTTGTGTCATATTTTCTGCTTCCGCTCCGTATTCTTGTACGGATTCGTTGGAGCCTTGGAGCTACACTAATAAATTTCGTCTACAATAATATGGGCATCGCTTACAAACTCACTTATCTAATTAATGTCTATTCAAAGAAGCCGAGAAGTTTATATACACGAGCATCTGTTCCAGAGATCTAGCGAAGGTACGAATGTCGAATCAGCACTTTAACACGAGATTCCAGAAAAATACAGATAAAGAAGTCGAGAACTTTGCTGACAAAGTGGTTAATTCGACTTCTAGAATTACTCTTAAGCCAGAGCGGCAATCAGAGCGTTGTGACTCATAACAGCGGCCGCTTCTTTCAGGCTGTTCGTTCCAACCAGTACCTTAGTGAACCAGGTCGTTGGATTCACCCGGTAGCAGATAACAATATATTTGCGAATACCTACAAAAGAAGACCTACCATGAACACTGTTTACGAATCTGTTACGAAAGAATTGTAACTGGTAGATATAGGAGCCAAAAGAAGAGAATTTCTTAAAGAACTCAAAAAAATACAAATCTGAAAGTTATATATTTATTCGTTAACATTATAAATAATTTTTAAAGAATTTCACAATTTTTTTGTTGATAGAAATATTGAATATAGTGATGAGAGCTACATGCATAAATTTCTACACAGTTTCAAAAGGTTGGGATGATGGACAAAACATCGGCTTAAAATCTCCTGCATCTAAACGACAACGACTGATTATTTTATATTGTAATGGTAAAAATGGATTTGTTGAAAACGCTGCTCTTATTTTCAAATCCGGACTAAAATTATGTGATTATCATAACGACACTAATCACCAGAATTATACGAAATGGTTGAACGACTCTTCCTAATTTACCTTCCAATTCACTTCAGTTTTAGTAATAGATAACGCTTGATATAATGTGACTGCTGAAAAATGTGATGCATAAGCTTCGAAAAAAGACGTCATGAGAAAACGGTTGACAGAAAGGAATATATTTTTCGGGGAAAGTGAAACAAACCGGAACTTTAAAATAAGATACTCTGTGCTTAACCTAAAAACCCTGTGTACGGCCAGTCGGTTTTACGTTTACCGCCATATCATTTGGAACTTAATTCGATTGAAAAGATAGGGTTATTTAAAAAAATTAATTGGCGGCAAGAAACACCATTTTCAAATAAAAATGCTATTATTTTTCAATCACACGTTGATTCGCTATTTATTTTCTCTCTAAGAATTTTTCACTTCTTCAAAGGTGTATTTATAATCAAAATTTGTGCAATGTAAATTGTTACACAAATTGCACATATTTTACATAAACACACATTAATGTTTTTCTCCATGTAAAAATTAAATAATCTTTTCAAGTGTAAATAATGTGGGTTATCTCTATTAAAAATCTCCTGCTTTATTAATATACTTTGTCACAAATTATTTAAAATTGATATTTAATCGTATTAAAATACGTACTAGTTTTAATAGGCGAAGTTCAGTATGAAATTCAAATAGTCAATGCCTTTGGGATTAATTTTTTAAATATAAGGCATGTGTATTTTCAAGGATCATGAGGTTTTGAACCAACTCTACTAATTATGGAATATTCGTAATGAAACAAAAAATTAATCAAAATTGATTTGTTTAATATAGAAACATTTATTTGTTTAGCGACTCAACGTTTGTTGACTGTAATCAGACATAAATGAGTAGGCTTTGAAATATGGCATACAATGATTATTATCATTCTATCTATAGCCCAAAATCTATTCATATGTTGAATATAAGCCTCTCCCATTGTCTCCATTTGTCTCTGTTTTCTGTTTGTCTTTTCCACATTGTCTTTTCCACATTTTCCACATTGGACCTGCGCTTTGCTCAGTGTCATCTTTCCATCTCATTTGCGGTCGACTTCTTGACCTTGTTCCAGTATATGGTCTCCAGCGGTCAATTTTTTTATTCCATCTTCGATCCTGATATCTTTCGTTAGGCCCAGCCCATTTCCATTTTAATTTCAATGCATGTTCGACAGCGTCTGTTGTTTCGGTTGTGCATCTTTTCCACTCGATACTCTTTTTATCTCTCAACGATATTAACATTTGTCTTTCCATAGCTCTTTGAGTTTTCTTTATTCTATCTAATCTATTTGCTCTTGGTACACGTCCACGTCTGGGCACCATATGTCAGAACAGGGAGGACGCATGCATTAAATACCTTCGTTCTTAATTTTAAAGGTATTTTTTGGTTTTTGATAGTATATGAGAGTTTTCCGAATGCAGCCCACCCCATTCTTATTCTTCTGGATATTTCTTTAGTCTGGTTACTTTTGTCTGCTCTGATAGCTTGTCCTAAGTAAATATATTCTTGGACGTGTTCCATGTTTGTTCAACCTGTGGTAATTACTGATCTGTCTTCTGTATCAGTCATTATTTTAGTTTTCTTTAGAGTCATTTTTAGTCCTTTCTCAAGAGATGTTTTTTCTAGGTCTGAAATCATTATTCGTAGTTGTTCCATAGTTGTTGCTATCAAGAGTACATCATCGGCGAATCTTAGATGATTTAAATATTTCCCGTTTATACAAATCCCTTTATTGTCCCAGTCTATAGATTTAAAAATGTCTTCCAACGCCATAGTAAATAGTTTGGGTGAGGTTGTATCCCATTGTCTGACACCTCTACAAATTCTAATTAATGGAGTTTGCAAATATTTGTCTACCTGAATTCTCATAGTGGCGTTTTGATATACCGGGTGGTGAATCGTCGTTAAATTGTTGAATTGCTGCTTATAAAAAACTATTTGTAGAGGACTAAATTCTAAATTAAAAACAAATGTTAATATCTTTCTACGAATCAAATGTACTACAAAATTTTGCAAAAATATAATACATTTTTCAGACCACCCCTAAAAGTTAGGCCACACGTAATACAAGAATACATTATAACGTGTGTTTTAATTTTACTAAATACTACTACTACTGAACAATATTACTTTGTGAACAATAAATTATATTGTTTACAAATCGATCAATATAATGAAATGTACTCAGTTGACGAAAAATCGCATAATGTTGTATTCAGGCAATAGCGCGAACCTTTTCCAGTCACTACCGGATCTTTATTTAACGTAAGATATTCTAATACACTAAAATTTAATTCCATGTTAAGTTAAGTTATACAACAATTCAATGAATTCCAATATACTGTTACTGTGATCTTTATTCATAATAATAATATATGATAATTTCTAAACATAAAACTATAACAAATGTTATAATAACACATGAATAAAACATTTTTATTACTGCTCTTTTCTCCTTAACTGAGTACATTTTTTAATCAACTTAATTTTTCTTTTAAAATAATAAAACAAAATTTTGGCCATTTAAATCATAGATAAATATAATATAGTTGATTTAAATATTGTCAAATATTAGAAACGTCAATATGACAAAACGCAACACGTAATACACATTCTTTTCACGGCGTCTGGCCTGACTTTTAGGGGTGGCCTGAAAAATGTATTATATTTTAGCAAAATTTTGGAATACGTTTAAGTCGTAGAACAATTTTAAAAATTGTTTTCGATACAAATGTTTCCCATTACTTTTGGTGTAAAATAATTGTGGAAGCAGGAATTCAACAATTTAGAATTTCTCATTGAGTTTCCTATGGCCCGTTTGACGATTCACCACCCTGTATATCGTGGATTAACATTCTGTACCGTGAATCTATTCGGCAATTAACTAGCGCTTCTTCCACTGCCCATAGGACTATGCTGTCAAACGCTTTTTCATAGTCAACAAACGCTAGGTATATTGGAAGGTTGTATTCGTTGGTCTTTTCTATCAATATTTTAAGAGTGTGAAGGTGGTCGGTTGTGCTGTACCCCTTTCTTAATCCTGCCTGCTCAACTGGTTGGTATGCATCAAATTTGTTGTTTAGTCTAGTTGTGATCACCTTAGTGAAAGTTTTATAGAGTTGTGACAAGAGAGATATTGGTCTATAGTTAGCTAATTTTGATCTATTTCCTTTCTTATATATCAGAATTGTATTTGCCTTGTTCCACTCTTGCGGTATTTGTACTTCAAACAAACATTTATTGAAAAGTATCTTTAGGTAGTCTTTTATCTTTCCCCCTCCTTCTTTTAACATTTCAATTAAAATTCCATCGTCTCCCGGAGTCTTATTTCTTTTCATGTCTCTAATTGCTTTTTCTATTTCTTCTTCGGTTATGGGGGGTAATATTTCAGAGTTTACATTCATTATTTTCTTTTTCAGGTTTTGTTGAATTGTTTCAGGTGGACTGTTTTTAGTACTGTAGAGGTCTCTATAATATTCCCTTGTTATCTTAGATATTTGGGTTCTGCTTTTTTCTATTACACCTTATTTTCCATCTCTATGATTTTATTTCTTCCTAGGTGGGACTTGATAGATCTTAAGTTTCTGTTTTCCTCTATAATCTTCTCGATACGTTATTTTTGATGCCATTTGAGATCTTGTTTTATATGTCTTCTTATTGCTGTATTAAGGGCTGCATTCTTATTGCTGTATTCAATTGTATTTCTTTTATTTTCTTGTAGTAGGCTTCTCCGTTTTTGTAGCATGTCTAAATATATGACACTTAGTTTTGATTTTTTGTCTGATTTTGCTGGTGCTACTTCTAAGCTAGTCTTTAGAAGTTCTTCAGTGATGGCTTTGTTTAGTTGATCTAAATTTAGGTCTGTTAGCTTTAGTTCTTCAGCTGTTCTTAATTTGTTTTGGTATTGTTCTTTATTCTCCTTTAGTTTTTCTGGGTGGACTTTTTTCTTAGAGTGCACATATTGTCTTCGATCTTTTTTGTGTTTAATACTTATTTTAGCCAGTATCATTCTGTGATCACTACCAGTAGAGATTGAGTTTATTACTGTGACGTCTTCGAAAATGTTCTTTTTGTTTGTTAGTATGTAGTCAATTTCATTTTTAGTGTTCCCACCTGGCGACATCCACGTCCATTTCCTATGTGGCTTTTTCTTGAAGAAAGAGTTCATGGCAAATAATTTGTTGTTTTCTAGATAGTTAACCAATAGATCTCCTCTTTCATTTCTTACTCCATGTCCAAATTCTCCAATACAGTTTTCGTTTTCTTCTAGTTTTTTGCCCATTTTCGCATTAAAATCGCCCATTATAATCGTGTAGGTAGTGTTTCGATACGTCATGGACTCTGTGAAGTTTTTCCATTTCTTCGTCTGTGTGTGTAGATGTTGGCGCATAAATCATTATTATCATTATCTCAAATAAAACGTAAACTAGTCTACAAATAATATTAAAGATCTAAAGTAATGAAAAAAAGTACTTACAGCCCCGTGACATGTAGATCCAAACGTCTCCAACATTCCCTGTTCGGTACCAGTTAGAACATAACTGCAGGTTCCCATAGTACCACCAATCAACACTGGTTGTCCTGTAAGTTGATAGTCTACAGGTATGAGTGGGTGATGTGGTGGAAAAGCTCTTGTAGAGCCCTAAAATATTAAGTGATGATAGTTTGTTCACAACTGAAAAATAAATATTAACTAAGGACAGAAACCACTAGCTATGATTTTAAAAATGAGGTATGGAAGGGAATCTCGAGAGTAAAGAAGGCATCAAAACTTAACTTTTTTCACTATTTCGTATTAATGCAAAATTAATACCAGACAAGGGCAAAGTACGACCCGCGGGCAAAGTGCAGCCAATTGGGTAATTCAATCAGGCCAGTGGCATGTTTTTGAGTAGGTAACCCCAAAACTTACGCAACATAGGAATGTACTTTATTATGTTTCCCTGTGTTAACTCGTCGACTTCTGCGTTCTGCGCATGACATCCATCTCTGAAAATTGTTTCCACAGTTTTGCTTTGTTTGTAGTGTTTTGTGACATTTTTATTGTTAAAATGTCCAAAAACGTAAGTAGAATGTCGTGTTTTTAAAGATACGTGGACTTGTAAATACTTTTTCAAACATATTAAGGATAAATCTGTGTGCCTTTTTTGCAATGAAGCTGTAGCAGTATTTAAGGAATTCAACCTATACCCGACACTTTATGGCAATACATAAAAATGTCACCTATGAAGTTATGACCGAAGAACGAAAGCAAAAAAGCACCACCTCTACTTAAAAAACTGTCAGGTCGGCAAAATATTTTTAAAAAAGAACGTTGTTCTCAAAAGCAAGCTAAATGTACTATTATAGTTAAGTCGACTTTACACTACATGATTTATCATGTGACAATATCATATGAGATTGGTTATGATTACTTGTTATGATGTTTTAAAAAATCATGTTTACACTGAATGGTATGTTGTGACTTATGATATGAGTGACAATGGGTTAATATTGATTTTTCTTCTTGATTATGGTCATATAGATCATAGATAAATAATATATTACGATATATATGTTACACAGTATAGGTAACAACTATTAGATTTATAAACTTATAATGGAAAAGGAATCTTTGCTTGCATTGGCTTCCTTTGCTGCTGACTAATAATAATAAGCTAGCAACGACTGCGTACAGCTAATAGTAAGAAGAAAAAGATCAGACGCCTTTTGGACACGCAGGTGACTCTTACGAAGAGTTATTAGACGGGGTATATAATATTTAGTGTAAGGGAATTAAAATTAATTACCCCCATTACATGAAGATATATTACCGAGGATCATATGATTTTATCATGCGGAATAAGTACCGTCCTGTTCTTTTGTGACGAGCGCATGATAATGCTTATGACCAAATCATTCATATGACAAATCACACATTGTAAACATGTAAATTTCACTCAATGAATAAATGATATGACAAATTACATGATGAATCATGCAGTGTAAAGTCGACTTTACGTTGTATTATGACGTAAAGTCAATGATCAAAAGAAACACTTTGAGACAATAAGTATGCCCAGAAAAACAATTACTCCTATGATTCAAGTAATCGATAGGCAGCTTGTCTGATAACTGGGGTCAAAGATAAGAGAATTTAATTTCGATACTTTTGCGTTGGATGAAAGTACAAACATAACTAACACGGCTCAATTACTTATGTTTATAAGAGGTGTTGATGAAAACTTTTGTGTTACTGAATAATTAACTTGTATACGTCCAATGAAGGGAACGACGAGTACCTGTAAGCAATATTTGTAGTACTACTACTGATGGAGCAGCAAATATTACAGTGGCAAAATCTGGTTTTCAAGGCATATTTAAGGATTCATTTCCTGAGATCGAAGTAGTATTTCTTCACTGTATCAAACGTCAAGAAGCCATGTGTAAATCTGCTCTAGACATGAAACATGTGCTTGATGTTGTTATTAAACTTGTTAATGGCATTCGTTACAAGAATTTCTTGATTCATTGCAGTCTGCATATTCTGATGTACTTTACTACACTAAAGTAAGATGGATAAGTGCAGGTCGAGTTTTTAATCGCGTTTGGGATTTTAAAGACGAAATAATATCTTTCATGGAAGAAAAAGGAATGGATAAGTGTGAACATTTGACAGATATTTAATGGATTTCGGACTTTGCATTTTTTACAAATTTTCTCAGTCACATCGATAAATTAAACCTTAAACTCAATCAATTAATCCATGATATTTGGAGTCATATCAGAGGATTCAAAATTTTAATCTATTTTCTAAATAACTAGGAAAGGAAGACCTTACTCATTTTCCAGAGCCAAAACTATTACACTTAGGGAAGACAATCTTAATCAGGTATGAGAAAAGCGTGAAATGTCTTCATGACAAGTTTGAGCGAAGATTCCAAGAACAAGATCTGGACATTTCAGCAAGCTGTTTAATGTGAACTATGAATCAGTGAAACCAGAATTGCAGGTCGAACTTATTGAGTTTTAATAGACCACTGAATTGAAGCAACTATTTCTCAATGTTTTTAATACTGGGTTGCTACAAGGTACTGTCAAAAACAAATTTCCCAAACCTGAAGTCGCATTTTCAGAAAATAATTGTGATGTTTGCCTCTTTCTACATTTGTGAACAGGTGTGTTCTACTATCAAGCATCGCAAAAATAGCATTAAAAATCGATCGACTCACTAGCTTCACTCCTGCCAATCAAATCATTCCAGTTTCTGTCATATTTTAAACAACTTTTAGAAGCTGTTTCATATGTCACATACACCTTCATACTGTGTGTACTTGTTTTAAAAATTTGTTTTATTAATTTTTGTTTCGGCTCTCCTAGAGAATGTTTACTCACCTTTCTGTGAACTAAAAGTGTTTTTGGTTTTCCATCTACAATATGTTCTTCAACTTTTGCTATGTTGTGGGACACATCATAAATGACATGCATATCGAGATCATCTGGAGCTAAGCCGAACTTCTTGGCAAATGCCTAAAACCAAACACAATCCGGTGTTATTTAAGTTTAAAAAAATTATAATCTGAAATGTGGGAAACAGATAATGCCATATATAATGATCATAAAAAGAAATAATGATAATAATTAAAAATACCAATAGATCTACGACTACGATTACTAGAAAATTGTGTTTTGTGACAAAAACATTAAAAATGATAAACAGACGCCAATTGTAAAAGTGCTTTAAATGGGTTAATTGACAAGTAATACCTGAATTTAACAGTTCTGGTAATACTTAGATTGTTGTGCGATTCTGTAGAGCTGTTTCAAGTTGGCGACCATTCAATGTTCAATAGCGGCTATGTCAAAATAATAATAATTTGGACTACCGCTAATAATTAAGTAGTCTTATATCTTTTATCTTATATCAATTATGTATTTATTGACATATCTCAAAAATATGAGATCATCTAAATTTTCCTTGAAAGAAAATATATGGCGTGTGATACGTCAGTTGAATGCTCTTGTATCACTATCTTGGTAAAAAGGTAAAAACAAGAAAGAGTTATAATAATCTTTCAACGGGAGTGAGTTTGGGAAAATTTTCTGAATTGCATGGTAACGATATTAAAACAGCGCGAAACAATCACACAAGAGTTAAGAAACAAACTGAGAGACAGCGTTTTGATATGAAGTATTAAGTTTCATATATTGTTATTTATGAAAAATGTTGGCGATGTTATGTTTTGACAGAATAAAACAACAAATAAATTTTATCGGAATGTGCGAAATAAGAAAAATAAATTGAGCTATTCAAGTGTTTTCCACCGAAGTGCAAAGCCACCAAATTATGAGGGTAGGGATAGGTAGGTAAAATTCTGTTTATGCTGTCGCCATTTTAAAATTTCGCAATACAATCTACAAAAAACGAGAATCGTTTTGAATACTATCTTTTGACAGCATAAGAGCTGTCAAAAAATATAGGACAGTTCATAAAGTGACGCCACTTTTATTTTCAAAAAAAACCTTTCTGATTCAAAAATAAATAAGGAAGGTGGCGTCATATTTTGACAGATACCGATGAATTAACAAACCAGTCACATCATAACGTGGGTAAATGGAAAAAATGTGACGTCAAAAATGGAAATTACGTCCAAAATATGACATCACGTTTCTTATAAAAGAAACATCTCATATTGTGTCAGATACCAATAAAAAACAAACAAATTCTATCATAACCTGGGAAAATGGAAAAGCGCAATACCATCAGTACCTTAGTTCATTGACCACAAATTTATTACATTAAGTTTTAAGTTAAGTTAGTTTTACGTTATTACATTAACTTTTTTTATTGTTTTACGGTTCAGAAAATAGTTTAAGCGAACTTTAGAAAAAGTTTAAGTTTAAGAAAACTGATAGATTTGAAGAAACGTGAATTGCCAATAATACAAATTTAACCAACAAAACTGAGAGATTGATAGAAGAGTTATCTTGAGAACCTTAGAGTGCAGGTTCTGGTAAAAAAAACGGTATCTGGTACTCCGTGAGTGACCGAGGAAGGGAAGCATAGCATTATTATCCTCTACGCATGAAGCGATGGTTTTTAATTTAATATAATATAATTTAATTTAAATTAAACTGAATTTAATTGAAATAAATTAAACTATATTCAATTCGATTTAATTCAATTACATTCCATTCCATTTGATTTAATTATTTTATTTTTTACTATGTTTATGTATTTACTGCATTTATTATACTCAAGTAGTGTGTGGTCGCACGATTTGCGTTTAATTGCGCTTCATCACGTTTCTTTTGTTTTTATTTTTTCACACCTCTGCGTAATCCATTTCACCGATCAACGCATTGTATCCGGAAACCTCGTTAAGAAAGCCATGCTGCCAACAATACTGTAATGATGCCCCAGCCTCCATATTTGCCAGGCATGGCTCCGTGTGACTTTTCCTATTTCCAAAAATAAAGAAAACTTTAAAGGGCCGTTATTTCACAAGCTTAAATGACATTAAAAGCCTGATAAAACTAAAGGCTATCCCAAAGATCCAGTGTGAGAGGTGTTTTATAGATTGGCACAAGTGCATAATAACTGATAGGGACTAGTTTGAAGGAGACAACATTAATCTAGAATAAGAAATATTTTTTTCAAAAAACGAACATTCCGGGTATTTTTTTAACACAACTATAAATATAATATATTAATTCAATCCGCACAACGACAAAAAAAGTAAAGACGATACTATGTAAAACATACATACAATAATAAATATATATCAACAAACCTGCCGGCTTAAGAAAGTCATAGAGCTTCTATTAACCCATGCAAAGTTGGCAGCAGCTGCCATACTCTTCAAATAATCCTGACCTTCTTGACTGTTGATTCTGGCACACGCCAACTGCCTGTCGTTAGTTTCAATATTGTCCCTCTTCATGGCTTTTTCCATCTGAACAAGAGCATCTGTAGCAACTTGATGACCAAAACCACGACTTCCTGAGTGAATCATAACACATATCTGTCCTTTTTCTTCGATGCCCATCTTACTGGCTGCCCATTTGTCATAGATTTCTTCTACTACTTGGATTTCGGCATAGTGGTTGCCAGCTCCCAATGTTCCTAACTTGAAAATTATAATAATATAAGTATAAATTGTAACATCATATTCACAATGTAGTAGAGTTTTTATGATCTGATTTAGACAGACATAAAATTTGTCGATTTTAAGTACCTCTGTCGATCATGTGCGTCGCAATAGAAATAAAATAATAATAATAAGCGTTTTTAGAAATTATTGTCCAATATTCAAGTAAAATTTATAGATTTTTGGTTACTCATGTTAACTGGACTTTCCTATTGGAATCGTTAGTATTGTGTTAAACTGCAATGAAAAATCCAATTTTAAAAATTGGTATTCTAATTTACAGTAGTACATTATTATTTACGTATGGCAGTATAACACATATCTGTCCTTTTTCTTCGATGCCCATCTTACTGGCTGCCCATTTGTCATAGATTTCTTCTACTACTTGGATTTCGGCATAGTGGTTGCCAGCTCCCAATGTTCCTAACTTGAAAATTATAATAATATAAGTATAAATTGTAACATCATATTCACAATGTAGTAGAGTTTTTATGATCTGATTTAGACAGACATAAAATTTGTCGATTTTAAGTACCTCTGTCGATCATGTGCGTCGCAATAGAAATAAAATAATAATAATAAGCGTTTTTAGAAATTATTGTCCAATATTCAAGTAAAATTTATAGATTTTTGGTTACTCATGTTAACTGGACTTTCCTATTGGAATCGTTAGTATTGTGTTAAACTGCAATGAAAAATCCAATTTTAAAAATTGGTATTCTAATTTACAGTAGTACATTATTATTTACGTATGGCAGTATTATTTACGTATTTCATCCTACCAGGGATCATCAGAGTGACTCATACACAAGCTCTAAACGTGAAAACAAATCTTTTCCGTTAAAAGAAGCAACAATAAAATGGCTTCAACATGGACGCTACAGCGACATCTGATAATAAATCACGAAAGTAGAAAACCGAAGATTTTTATTGACGCAACCAAAATTCAAATCTTTGCTTTAATCTTAACTTTCTATAAATTGCAAGGCAAAACAGATGATGCCAAAAGATGTAAGAGAGATATGAAGAATCTATTGCATTTCACAACATATCTCCCCATCTAAGCAAAAATCCTTGGCGAATTGGTTTCTTGTACTCATAAACCAAAATGAAAGAAAAGATAGCTAAGATTTGATTTCACGTATAATGCCTCTGTATATTCGCTTATATGTATTCCATCCTACCATGAGTTATCAGAATGACTGACACAGAAGATCTAAACGTGAAAAACAAAATCTTTTCGGTCAAAAGAAGCAAGAATAAAATGGCTTTTTTTTCTTTCTTTCTTAAACTTTTTTAGTCTTTTCTTTTATATATACATATACATACGTGTATATATATATATATATATATATATATATATATATATATATATATATATATATTAATGTAATATTAAAAGTCTGAAGTGCGCCAAGCAATAAAATTAGCTAATTAATTAATCAATTAAACTTATTTAAATGATGCAGTTAAGATTCTATCAAACTATTTAATTCTTTTATCTCAGGGTTATACTCGTGCTTCAATATCTATGCTTTACATATGATAGGTAAGGTCCAAAGAATGCTCTCCTTTTCCTTACCTACCTTTTCTCCTCTCGATAAAACTGAATCTCTCGTTCTGGCCTGAACAGTGACTCTTGGAATATAAGTAGAAAAATATAACTTACAATATTTTACTGGATCAGCTTCTGTCAGATACACTAACTCCACGAAAAACTCACTAACCTTCACTTCTACTTGTTACTACCTCTCGGGAACCACCAGAGAACAATGACTGTTCGCCTTGCACACTTGGAAAAAAAACTAACTATCTTTTTTTCCTCAAAAATCTAGCTAAACTCTTCTTCTTACATACCTATCCCACCTTTTTCAATCTCCTCCAATCAAAGCTCGTCACACGTATCCCCATCTCTTCATTTAGACCACAAACAACAATTTTACCTACAAGGTAAAATTGTTGGTTGAGAGCGTTGAGTGTACACTCAACTTGGTTGAGAGCTTTCTCTACTTCTGCTCGTAAGATTATTAGTTGTGCCTCTCGGATTGTATGTTTCTTCTGTTGACTGATGCATCTTTTTTTACAAAGTGTCTAGGTATAATTCTAAGCAGTAATTTTTCCATTATTTAACACCAAACTTCTGATTTAATATGTATGTTATTTAAAAACATAAATGATGTATCCTCTTTTTATCGATTTCCTCTTTTAATATGGGTAATCAGATCCTACTGTATTCTGTCGAGGAATTTGCAACTCAATTGGCCTCATTTAGCATAATTAAAGCCTCTCTGATTTTTCTCCTTTTATCATATGTTTTAGTACTATACTTGAATCGTTTCATTGACACCTATGTTCATTTTCCCATGCGTGTTTACATATTTGAGATCTATCAAATTCTCTATTTTTAATATAACATTTATTTTCTGGTCTTGATGTTTCACATAAATACAAATAATCGCATTCTTTCTTGTTCATTGTTAGTTTTAGTTGTAGATAAAATAGATCTCAATGTGATTGTTGTTTTGAATATTGTTGATATTTTGAATTTATTTCCTATCGTTTTAAGTTTTTCTGATAATCCTTTTATGTATAGTATTATTTTCCTCGTATTTTTCCTTATGGATGCTGTAGGATGTTGTTCTAAGTTTTCTGTTCCTTTCGGTAGATTCTTGAAAATGAATACATTTACGATTATTTTCCATGATTCGAAACTTCTCGCGCCTCCTATGCCTGTTTATTTGTGTGTAAGCGTGTTTCAACGTACGTAATTTTCATTCGTTTCATTCATTATAAGTTTTTTAACCTTCATATTTTGCTGTTGAGTATAAGAGGAGTGGTAAAAGAAAAAAATGTAAAAATTTATAAAAGAGCAGCATACTTAGAGGATCCTTCATTTAAAAATAATTTTCAAATAAAAACAAATATTGCTCTTATGGAAAGGTCCAGCTATGTATATATATATATATATATATTGCAATCAATGATCCTATAAATAACTGAATTATGTTACATAATTGATATTGTTATTGAAAAAAGGCAAAACTATTAAAGCAAAGATAAAACCTTAAAATATTGGATATTGGACAGAAAATGCGTCTTGTTAGTAGAATGAACAAAGAAGTGTTATGAAGATAAATCTTAGACAGGCTACGCCATAGATGTATTAAATACATAAAAAAGAAGGAATGATAATATTAATTTCGGACCAGAAGGGTATAGAAAAAAATATGAAAGTTGAATCTAACAAATTGAAGATCCCTAATGCCTAAGAGTTCATCAAATATATAAGCAATAGGCTTATATAAATATCTGATATAAAAACTAATTACCTGTGGTAGGCCTCTCTTTTTGGCTCTCATACTGACTTTTGAAGGGTCGGCATTCAACATTCTTCCATACTCTTCACAATGTTCTTTGTCCTCAGCCCAGATGTATCCCTCTCGAAGTGACCAGTCCATTCCCATCTCCAATGCTTCCTCAAGATCTTTTGCATTCATTGGTATAATACCTGTAAAAATAGATTTATACATTATTAATTAAAAATAGATGTTATTATTCTAGTTTGTCAAGTAAAATTGTCCTTCTATGCTGTTTTCCAACAGAAGTATATTTATGAGAAGTATATTTATGATAATAATAGTCTTTTGAGCTGATTATCTCAATAAACATCTTGTGGTTATAGTTTCCAAATAAGGTTTTTGATTGGCTATTTCTTGTAGACTAATCAGATATACAAAAAAAAAATTTAATTTACTTTAAAGGTTTCAGTTACCAGGAATGTTATTTGTCTGTTACTGTTACTAGTTTACCTATGAGTTTCTTTAAGTTGGTATTAATAGCACAGAATAAGAAAACATAATGTAACTCAACATCTCAGAGAACATGTGACAGAAAACATAATGTAATCTCGGAGAACATGTGTTTCTTTAACTCTACTCTGCTACGATCTGAAACTTAGGCTATCGTTCATTGGGTTATAAATATTCTGATTCCCCACTTTCGAGGTGATAGTATTTAAATTAAGCATAATGGCACCATAACAGGGAAGATTAAGACAATTTTATATGTAATATATATATATATATATATATATATATATATATATATATATATATATATATATATATATATATATATATATGTATGCACAATAAACAATAAACATTTGTATCAATGCTGATTAGTTAGAACACAAACACAATTATTTGGATATGCAGAAGAAGACAGCACAAAGATGTACTCTTTTTAGTTAACCAAAATTTCGCAAATCTTTATTGCATCATCAGGGTGCTACAATAAGTAAAATTAGTACAAATTACAGAATAAAAAATTATTTTATATCTTACACTATTTGAGGTTAGTTGTCAAAGTGCAAAGAAAATAAAATATAAAACTCATCTGGCTCCTAAAAATAATAGCATGTTTCTTTTAAAAAACTTTATTACATAAAACACATACTTAAAAAACTTTACTTAATCAGAAATAAATCAATTGGTTGTAAATTAATAATTATTAACAAATGACAGAATGTTAGATGTTAGTCTTAGAATGATAACATATGTAGAGTATGTAGTATACCTGACAGGCGATGGATTTTCTGAAAAAGGATATTCAAAAAGACTTTTTTATTTTATCAAGTAGAAGAGACATTATACTTATATCACTTATGTAATGAAACTAACATAATTGATGATTAAATGTCTTTATTAATAGGTTTGTAGTTATCTAAAGTTAACAATAATGAGTATAAGTTGCTTAAATTCTTGGAATCTGCCTTTTTATTAATGGTTTCTTTCTCTTGAAAAATGAATTTTATATATAGTATAAATAACTATATAGTATATTATGCATATTTTATTATTTTAGTCTTGTTTTAAGTAGCTCAAGTATCAAATTTATAATTATGTCCACTTTATCAACCATCATTTTTAGCATATAACCAAATCTGGTAGGGCTGATTTCACATGGAGGTCCAGCTGTGGATTCAAAACAAAAGAATTATGTGATAAGCGAGCCACCTTTTCTTAAGGAAGCTAATTGAATAGTGGTTGTGGAACTTGAAAATATGAGGTATTTATTTCTTATCCCAAAAATATTAACAGAAATTTGGAAATCCTACTCGTTAGTTTCTGAGAAGGTTAGATCGTAAACAAACTGCTAATAGTATTTCATTGCAAGACCAAATTATTGTTTACTGCTTTATTCACTAAACACTATTGAATAAGAAGTAATGTCTTTTGAGTCCAAATACCAAATAAATAGCCAAGGACAGACAATTTCTTTTTTTATGTTGTAGAAACTCATCATTATTTTGGCTTTACAACCCTGTGTGGGTCTTAGCGTCCCCAAGAATTTTTTTCCAGTTGTCCCTATCCATCGCCTTCCTCTGCCAAGCATGTATTTTCATATTTCTCATATCTTGGTCTATGTTATCTAGGAATCTTGTTCTGGGTCTTAATCTTCTTCTTTGACCAATAGGTCTATCAAGGAGCATTTTTCTAGCTGGGTCAGTTTGCTCCATCCGCATTACATGGCCTACCCACCTCAGACGTCCTATCTTAATGTATTTTATGATATCGTTGTAGAAACTAGTAGGTAAAATTTGTCCAAAGCAGAATGTAGTTCATGGTTAAGTCCTCTTGAGGAATACAGAACTAGATTTAACTTTTATTTACAAACTGGTTAATTATAGTATTCATTGCCCTGATTTTTAAAGTCTTATTACATTCAGATGCAATACACATAATTATAAATGTGGTTAGTTTTCTCCCTTAAACATAATTCGGATAATAGCATATGATTTCAGTACATACTAAAACAAAGTTGATATTGAGTTTTCAATGTTTAATCAAGCATTCATTCCTATTCAGTTTGTTATATATAATATATGTAAGTAATAGAAATAATTATAATTAATATAATTTTTGGAATATAATTTTTGTATATTTTTGTTTATTGGTTTTATTTGCATTATTTATAATTATTGCTGTATTATTATGATAATGACAGTTGATGAAATCAAAACCACCTTAATATAAAAACATAGGAGATGTGAAATTCTAGCCCCTTGTATAGAAATCAAGCAACACAGTCTCATATGTCTGTTTGTCAACTTGGTGGAATGATTCTCAAGTTGTTAAACTGCTTAGACCAAGACATGTTACTTACTATTTTACTTAAATTTCAAAACAAATTAAAAAATTACCTACCTTTTGAACCTACTCCAACAGGGATGTGGTCAAACAAACTTTGAGCTAGCTGTTCTTTTATGGGCATTACATCTTGCTCGAAAAGATTTGTTCTTAATAACCTTACTCCACAATTAATATCAAAACCTACACCACCAGGTGAAACAATAGATTTGGGATCATTGACATCAAAAGCTGCCATATTACCAATGGCAAATCCATACCCAGAATGAACATCAGGCAAACCTACTGATCTACCTAAAAGAGGTATTTTGTTAAAGTAAACTGCAATATTTTTATATTTTTTATATATTGATACACTCATGGAAAAACCTTGTAACTCCAAAAACCAAAATCTATCAAGGAAAGCAAAAAACTTCATAATTTTAAAAATTTAAGTACTTCTTTAAAGTTCATTTTTTTGCTATACTGTTTAAGTCTATTATAGAAATCTAACAATTACATACTACTAAATGTGTTTATATAAAAAAATAGAGGAGTTACTAGATTTTCTTATATTTGAAAGATTCTACTTTGGAGTTACTTACATGTTTTTAGCAGTATATAAGTCTTATGATAAATTTTTTTTGAGACATATTTGTAGCAGATAAAATTGAAAACAGTTGATATGAATCATTTGTTGAAGGAACTGAAGAAATAATGAAAACTTAAATACTACTAATATACAGAAATATATTGAAACAAATATAGAATACAGACATTGTTAGTCATGAAGGCAGAAATCTTTGGTTGAGTTTACCGAAAGTACAAGCTGATTATAGCTGCAAAGGTCAAACATGGAACAAAAAATTTCGGTATAGCAGCGTTGGCATGTTTTGATAATGTAGATGCTGTATGCTTCAAATATAATAAGATAAAGCTTTAGAAAAGTACATTTTGTTCATAATATGTTATAAATTCTGCAATTTTTAATTTATATGCAACAATAACAAGTAAGTATTTGTTTCTTTGGAGATTAATTGTAGTTAATTATTAGAAATTTTTTTGGCAATTACCCTTTGATAGATTAGGGGATAGATTTGGCAATCGTCAAATCAGCAGTTGCTAGATTACAACAGATGGTTGCAATTAATCTCGAAAGAAACAAATATCTACTCGTTATTGCTTCATATAAATTAAAAATAGCAGAATTCATAAAATAGTATAATCAAAATGTACTTTTTAAAAGCTTCATCTCTTTATATTTGAAGCATACAACATATGCATTATAAAAACATGCCAACACTGCCAAACCGAAATATTTTTGACATTTGCAGCTATATTTAGCTTGTACTTTTGGTAAACTCAACCGAAATATTTCCATTTTTATTTTTTTTTATTTTTATTTATAAGTTTGTGAAATTTCTGTATTAAAAGATTTTTTAACTCTAACACACAATTTTCCATATATAAGAATGCCTTAATTTGTAATGTATAGATCTACCTGGATTATAATGAAGATCTTGAATGTTATATTAAGCTGGGCCACCTACTTTTTTTCTGGGTCTTATTATATTTACATACTGCAGATTTAACTTTAGATTTGAGTCATTAAAAAAGTCATGAGTTACTTAAATATTCTATTACACAAGAATTTGGAGTTTGTCTAATCCGAAGATATACCTCGATTTAATCAGCTGGCACATTTATTTTCTTATTTTTCAATTTCAATTGTAGTATGCATTAAGTCTGCCTACATTTGTGTAAGGCACTTTTCTAGAAACTTCTGTTAAATTGTAATTTTCTTCCCTATTGCAAATTTTAGCAGGGTATTGGAGAGGTGTTTCTATTTGGACCACAAAAACCACTGCTATATAAAATTAACAATTCATTTAAGCTGAAATATTTACTTACTTCAGTAATAAAGACACTTAAAATACTTGCAAACTCATTTGAACCTATGCCACTTTTGGTTTCATTCCAAATGAAATAATCGGCTCCTTTGGTTTTTACATTAAATATTTATAGTAAAGTTGTGTACAACCTACTTCATTTTGTAGTAGTAAAACTGTTTATTTAGGACATAGTAGGACAGTAAGTCCTACTATGTCCTAAATTGTGTAAATTTTAAGTTTCTCACTTTTTTATCTTTGTCTTTCTCTTCTAACTTCCACTTTTGTGTCTTTGTGTAGCTGGTAATGTTTCATCAAAATTAACAACTTTTTGTGTAAAAAATAATGGTTTTATTTGTTTCTCTGGGCACCACAGATCAGTATAAAGTGGGTAATGTTGAGACTTTGAAGTCTACAGTGGCTCAAGATACAATTTGGTAGTCCTGGCTGAAAAATAGTGAGCCCTCATTTTTGGAAGGCTCTTAAAAAATAAACAAATTTTGTTTTCTGTCTGTTGTCTAGAGAATCTTTGTTTGAGTTAATCTTCATCCTGTTTACCTTTCTTCTTCCAGGAAATAGCAGTAGACTCACCTAAACAAATTTTTACATATGCAGAGTGTTGTTTACTTGAATAATTGTAAATGGTACAGGTATAACTATATGAATGTCTGGATTTCTCATGTTGCTTTCTATCTCTTGGTCTTTTAATTTCTTCTTGGGTAATTAGCATTCTTACATACACCTTTTTTTGCTATCACTCATTGTCCAAAACTCTTTAAATAATTCTGGACTATACCATTGTGGCTTTGAAATATTCTTACCAAATTTGCATTTGCATCTTTCTTTAATTTTCCTTTTACCTTTAGTGAATGGAGTATACTCAAAGCTTATTTTTTTTCTGTCTTTCTTGGTATTCTACTCCATTCTACCTTTTACATATATGTTTATTAGCCTACAAATTATTTTCATGTAAGTACATTTTATTTCTGTCTACACTTTTTATTTATTTTTTATTCCTTAGGGTTGTTGTGTTATTCAGGAATTACTTAGCTTCAGTTTTTCAGTTTCTTGAAGATGATTATTTAAATTTGGATCATAAATGGTTGTCATGGTCAGTAATTTCTTGTGCATTATTTGAGCACTATTACTACAAACATGTCTGAAATTCATCAAAAATTTCATTTTCTAATGATAAGTTCTAAATTTTTATATTAGAATGGTCTGATATCCTAAAGATAAAACAAGCAGAATTACCATAAAATATGTATTTTAAGAAAAATTTAAAATGGTTAAAATGATGTTTATCATAATAAATTTGATTAAGATCCATATAAACAGAAACATAGTCTAAAATACAAAACTTGTCCAAAAAATAATATCACACTACATGCTCTAAATAGTTAAGTAATGTATATCATTAAAAATTCTAAAGATAACAACAAATCTACTAGAAATACAATGCTATATAATTTGTGTCAAAACTTTCAAAACTAGAGATGAAGACAGTTTTATAAAAATAATAATAGCCACTTTTATATTTTATGAAATATTTATCCAGATAAAACTATTGAAACACAATATTTATCAAAATATCAAAAAATATCAATAATTAAACATGCTACAGCTTTCTCCTATGGACTTATAAACAGTGATATCAAAGAATATACCTACTTAGATGCATTGAGGCATATTCCTCTATATTCTTTGGTTACATTAAAGAATATAGAGGCATATATATGTAATATGTAAGTAAACAAGATGGGGAAGATAGGAGAATTTCTTTAGGAAACAATGCATGTGGAGATATTTTCTTTATGTCTAAAAATTAATTACAGATTACTGTTCACTTCTTTTTGAATAGGTGATACCAAAAGGGAAAATTCACAAAAATGTGTAGTCTCATGTGGATATTTAGGAGAGTAGGATATATTAGAATAGTCCTTTACCTACAATTCCTGGAAGAGCAGCAACATTTGCTATTTGTTTTACACCTGGTAAAAAGCCACCTACCATGCCAGGTCTACAAGCATTTCTAAGTTCGTCAAACATAAGCTTTTCTAAGGTTTGGTTAACATAAAATACACCCTCAACATTCATGTTGGGTTGAAATCCTTTTTTGATTCTCCAGCAATGCGAATTAATTTTTTCCAGATATTCAAGTTCTTGGTTATATTGTCTCACCACCATTTTTGCTATTTAGGAATATTTTCAAACTTAACAATAATTATTTAGATAATATGTAATTGAAAAAACCAAAACTAAAAACTTTAGCTTTACCGGTGATGGTTGATAATGGTTCAACTTCTCACTCATTGGTCATTGCTAATTGCTGTCATGTCAAGTCAATGAATTTTCTTCTTTTAATATATAAAAAATATATCAGCCACCACGATCACGGTTCGTGTAAGTCTACGAACCGTGAACCACGATGCCGTATTTATTACGGGGGCTATGCATTAGGTCAAAAAATAAGAGATTATATCAGAAAATTAAGTACTTGTTTCACATACTTTACCTTTAAAGGTTCTATTTTTATAATATATAGCGTTATGGCTGAAAAAGGCAATCTGTAAATAAATCGAATAAATAAGAAGAAGCAGATTACATCACAATCACAATGACATGTCGTGTTCGGTAACCTTAAACTCTTACTAAAATGAGTAACAAATTGTAGAAATAATGTATTATTTAATATTTATGGCAGATACATGATACCTTTTGCATTCCATTTTATCAGGTACAAGGCAACCTGTACCAATTTATTATTTAATTGGTTTTAGTCAAGATGGGATCAATTTTAGCTATGACTACTATCAAAACAAAGCTAAGTAATATTTTAAGCAAAGCATTTAGTAGTAAATACCTGTTATTAACTAATCTTGGGTTATCTATCTCTCTATCAGCTGCAGGAGATATAATAGAACAAAAATATGAACTCATGGCAGAGGAGATACAAGAAATGAGCCTTGAAAGGACCAAAAATTTATCTGTAGCAGGATTCACAGTAGGTTTTGTTTGTCATTATTGGTACAAACATTTAGAGAAGTTTTTACCAGGTTACACGTTCCGGATAGTGTGTAAAAAAGTTGTATTAGACCAAATTATTGCATCACCTGTATGTATTGCAACATTCTTTGCGACCATGGGTTATCTGGAGGGTAAAAGTAAGGCAGAATTTTTAGAAGAAACCAAAGAGAAATCAGTCAAATTGTATGTTGCAGATTGGATGATCTGGCCTCCAGCACAGTTTGTCAACTTCTATTTATTGCCTTATCAGTACAGAATATTGTTTGATAATGCCATATCATTAGGATTTGATGTGTACACATCAAGAGTTAAAAACATGACACTATGAAACATTCAAAATATAATCTTGCATTTCTGTAAAATTCCTATTTATAGTTACTTAAGTACCTGTGATATTTATGAAAACATTGTAACTTAAATTTGATAAAAAATATATTTTTCAAATTACCTAAATAGTGTATTTCTGTGTTTCCTTTCTAAATCCTAAAATAGAAGATGTAACAGTAAATATACAGTATTCTTTATTATAACTATATGGGTATATGCACAACATTAACATAGATAACATTTAGAAACTATTTAACATAAATTACACCTACTTTGTTCACTACTGTATAGATAAAAGAATTTCTTCTGTGGACATTTAAAAATAAATACTTATGACTGGTTTCGTGTAAGGGGTAGTGATGCTCATTATAAGATGATGTCTCCAGTTAGCATCTCTGGTCTTTGAACCACAGACACCACTGGGCAACTCTGCTGGAAATTGGGTAACTAGCTTGATTTCAAGACAGGGTCAGGGCAGACAAAGAAGTGAGACTGGTGGTCGCAAAAAGTGATTTTGCTACAGAGCAGTGATTCTTACATATAAAACAGTAATGCTATGAAACAAATACTTATAAGTAATTAAATAGTAAATGTGCAAAGATTCATGAAGAGTTGTTATGCTAATGAAGCTGATGAATCTATCTTTTATAAAATCAATGTTACTGGAATGTAAAAAACAGATAGATACAAATAAAGCAATTGTTATGATACAATTAAAAAGTGCTTTAAACTAAGTCACCTTAAAGACAAAAACTGTGATTAAAGAAAGTATTGGTTACCCTGCACATTCTAGAGTAAAGTTATTCAGGCCATAAAGTTAGTTCTACGAAATCAAGACAAATACAACATTTTTTATAAAACATATAAAAATTTGTCGATTGCATACATTTAATAATTAGCTTAGACTGATATGTCCTGTTGTGCACTGTAAATAGACCATTGTATTTCCGACAAAGTTTGTCCACGGTTTTACTTATGCTTTTGAGAGTACTGTTACGATTTTAAATGTTATGGCATATAGAACTGTAAATATTTTATGACTAATTCTTTTTTATTGATTCTCGTAATTTGTAGGTCAAAATATACCTGAGCTTCGCTACCAGTTGTTTACAGAAATCTCTAGACACTAATTTTAGTGAGTCATCCACGTCTCGAGGTTGAAAAACGAGTCGAGCGCCTTCACCAAAATACGAGATTATTCAAGAAGTCCGCCGAATAATCTGGATGGCAACAGTTGTGTATATAAACCAAAGATTTTTTATTTGGAGTCAGTCATAAGAAGATCGGTAAACGCGATATTTAAATGTAACGAAACGTGAAATAAATACATTTGTAATATAAATTAGAATTAATAAAGACTTTAATAAATTCGTAATTAGTTATCGTGAGTTTTAATAAATTAGAATATAGACAATAAATTAGAATAAAGACAAATAAATTAGAGCAATAAAAAGACGTCACAGTGGTGCAGAAGTGGGATCGTAGATAAATTTAATTTGATTTTTGAAAAAGACTTTTGAACTTTTGAAGGGTATTGTTCGTCGGGAACATCCGCGTAGTTCAGTAGTGATCGTTGTACGGAAGAACATTTAAAAAGTACGTGTGTGCCTGAGCTGACCAAAGATGCTGCTAGTAGAACTTTCAGTGAAACAGTTGCGTGAGCAACTAGAAGAACGCGATGAAGACTACAGCGGGTCCAAGAAGATCCTCCAAGAACGACTGAAGACCGTTCTCAACAAGAATGGAGACGACCCAGAGACATTCCAGTTCCAGTCAGCAGAAGAAGCCGTTTTAACTAAAATAATTGATGGAAAATTCGAGACTCTTTCCAAAAGAATCGATGAAACGTCTCAAATGATCGAAGAAACTTCTCAAATTATCAAAGAAACAGCTAGACAAAACGACGAGAAATTTGAAAATATGTCTAGAAGATTCGACGAAGTATGTATTCAGAATAGTGAGAAGTTTGAAGAAGTCTCTAAAACATTTGATAAAGTTGAAGAGAAAATCAAACAGTTAGAGACCATGATAACTAACACGAGAGGGCTACCACCAATTAATACGGTAGTTTTAGATCCGGTAGAGATAAAAGAAGACGAGACGAAATGTAAGTTGGAAACACGGCCGAAATTTGAAGGAAGCGGAGGTTATGTTCATGTCAAAGTTCCAACTTTCGACGGAAAATCGTCATGGAACAATTACATGAAACAGTTCGAATCAGCTGCAAGAGCGAATGGATGGTCGGAAAAAGAAAAGGCTGTAAACCTGACTATAGCTCTTCGGGGAGATGCCTTAGATGTGCTCCAGACCATAGCCGTAGAGGAGACGGATGATTTCGAACAACTGAAGAAGAGGTTAAATATGCGATATGGCCACGAACACTTAGAGCATGTATATCAGTCGCAGCTCAAAAATCGAAGACAAAAGAAAGATGAGGCTCTTCAAGAATATGAAGTAGATATCGCCAGATTAGTGCGATATGCTTATCCAACAGCTCCCGAAGACATGATGGAAAAATTGGCCGTTCAAACGTTTATTGATGGTCTTCGTGATCATGAGATGCAAAGAACACTACGATTAGCTCGTCACAAGACGCTGGTTGATGTCTTATCCGCCGCTCTTGAATACGAGTCAGCCACGCAGGCCTCTGGCGGGTACAGTAAAGTTAGGACTGTAAAAGAGGAAGAAGATGAAGATAAACTTGACCAGCTCGTTAATATGATGAAAAGCATGACATACAAGAAAACGAAGACCATAAGATGCTGGAATTGTGGCGAAATAGGACACGTACGAAGTTCATGTAAGCATCCTAGGTACGACACAAATCAAGAAACTCACCATCAGGAAAACTAGAACGGGTCGGCCTTAGGGGGGCAGCTTCGACCCAGAACTTTACCAAAGACCCTCTGATACTAATAGCTTCTTTGAAATGTCGTGAAGATAGTGTATATGTAGATGGAGAAATAAATGGTAAAAAGCATACGTTGTTGGTGGATACGGGAGCGACCAGAAGCATTATTCGCCCGACAGTTATAAACAGCCGTAAGAAACTGTTACCAACGAGGTTGCGACTGCGGACCGCTACAGGTGAAAATGCTAACATTCATGGAGAAATCCAGGTACAATTAGGAATTGGAGCAGAAAAGTTCGTCCATACTGTTATAGTTGCTGACATCGAAGAGGATGTTATATTAGGAATGGACGTAATGAACACGCATGGATTCCAATTGGATTTTAAAAATAAAGTAATCAAAGTTGGTAACGAGGAGGTATTTCTCCATCCACATGATGACAACACTATGCAAGCAGCCGTTAAAGAAGATACAGTCGTGCCTGCGAGAAGTGAAACAATCATAGTAGCGCGGCTACAGGGAATTGTGGACGAAGGGTCACCTGTTATGATGGAGCCTTGGAACCATGACGACGAAGTTGGCCGTGGAATCATAATTGGAAAGGAATTGGTGACCTCGGCTAAAGAAATTCCTGTTAGACTTATCAATGTCAATGACTACCCAGTGACCATCAAGAAAGAGACAAAAGTAGGAACTTGTGTACCTGTGACATCCATAATCCGTCAGACGACAACGTCTGATAATTCCAACGACAAATTTGATCAAATGGTTGCAGTTGCTGGACAGTCTCTGAATCAGATTGAGAAAAGGAAATTAAGTGAATTTCTTCGGCAGTATCGTGATATTTTCGTACCGAAAGGAGGAAAGACGGGAAGAACTACCGTTGTTAAGCATAGAATTGATACTGGTAATGCTAAGCCAATTCGTCAAACAGCTCGACGATTACCACAGGCGAAAAGAGAGGAAGCTGAAACGATTGTTCAGGAAATGAAGAAAGACGGGGTGATAGAACCTTCTACGAGCCAATGGGTCTCTCCGGTAGTCCTGGTTAAGAAGAAAGACGGAACAACGAGGTTCTGTGTGGATTACCGTTTGCTGAACAACG